GTTAGTTTTTTGCTTTCCTTTTCTTCTCTTTTCTTTTTTTTTTTGTGATGGGTTTTGTTTACTTCTCCCCGCTGTAATTCTTTTGAGGGGTAGATGGAACTGATTACTTGCTGCTCTTTAGGGATGGACCGGAAAGTATCGTTAATGTCGAGGATGGAAAGAGTATTCTTGGCTGGGCCAAGGAGGGGTTGGATTCTCTCGACTCGGGGATTGGGAAGCGCTCTGGACGGTCGAGGACTTGAAGAATTGATGATTGAGATGCGAGATGTTTCTTTGGATGCATGATACAGTATCATAAGCTGAAAGAAGGGTATGAATAATGATGAGGGACGATGTGATGAGATGGTGGGCGGTAATGAGGAAGCATATCTAGCGAGCATGTGATATTTTTTACAGCTAGTATTGGGTTACTTGTTAACCTTTGGTTGTTAAGCAGTTTGAAAATGATAATAAATACTTACGACCTGTTTACTTCAGCTAATTCGTAAATTTAACGGAATCGGGATTTTCGGAAGCGTAAGATTTTTACTCCCGGGAGACACAAAACTTGTTAAATAACTCGGAATTATCTTCGATTCAAGTAACGTTTGGATGGAACCTTTACGGCCTGCTCGGCTTATAAGAAGGTAGAATATAGGTCCATATTTCAGTATATGAATTAAAGTTTAGTACCCGATACGAGTCCTGATTCGCTGGATGGTTTTAGAACGGCTTTGGGACGTTCAGAATGTGGAACTGTCTCGGGACGTATTCTCAAGTAGTTTAAAGGTATAACCTTTGTTTTTCAACAATTAATAAGAAACTATTTCAAAGTTATACTTGTAACGATCCCAAAATAGTTTCTGTAAAACCCTAAGGCCACCTAGTACAACACCAGGGCAAGACCGGGGCTACGCAAGGGACGGAACTCCTTCTCCAGGATCTGTGATAGTGAAGTCATACTCCCTGTGAGCAGGCCTTTTACGTCGTAAAATCTGTTGTGTAGACCACTCCTTGTCCTCTAGGTGGACTATTGATATATCATTCGCAAGATGTCTACTACGTCATGCTTCTGCAAGCTACTGCTCAGTAGGACGATGGACGATCATGAGATAAGGTACATCCTATATTAAAGTCAGCTTGCCTGTTTTGGCACGAGAACTACTAACATTCTGGAGAAGATTCAACCCGCCCGAAAGAATCGGCAAAGCTGCGTTCTTCGCCTTGCCAAGAGCGACGGACTGCCAGCCCTTGGCGTCGGTTCGCTGATTTTATATAGCATGGGCAAAGAGGGAAGTTGCGCGCGTCCACAAGTCACCAACGCCAAGGCGTCACCACTGCTAACAGGATGATTGGGATCCGAGTATTTTCGAGTTGAAAATCTCTCTCGGGGCGATATTGGCGAGTATGCTCTACGGGTTGCCGTCAGCCCATTTTACGCGGGCTCTTCGATCCATAATCGCATTCTGCCTCTGCGCCTGAGCTGGGCTTCCATCTACATTTGGTTCGACTATAGGAGTATCATCCAGCCCGGGGAAGATGAGCGGGGTAGTCTCGAGCCACTCAAAGGCCGAGATCCCATTTGACATCGTCACATCTTGAATTTGTGGTTGACCTTCTTGATCCTACGGCTCGTGCAATTGCTGTTGTTCAAAGCCAAAGATACAGCGGGGGTCATATCGAAATCGTAGATCGTGACGAGCTCGTTATGCTCGTTGGGTTTCCAAGATATAATAAGGGCGATGAGGCCGCGAGGTGCGAAGAAAGAGTCGTTGATCTTATCGAGGGAGGTGTTTGTTGTACCGCGGCTGTGAATCTCGTCGGCGATATTCGTGGCTATTTGAACAGCGACGCTAATAAGAATACTAATATGATCGGGAGTTGCGAGTCCAGCAATGGAAGCGAGTTTTAGGGCTTGGATTAAACCCCTGGTCGCACTGCTTAATTGAAGTTGTCGATGAATTCAAGAAAGGTTGTTTGGTCAATTCCGACATCGTTCGGAAGAGGCGAATATGCGCGGATGAAACCATGGGACCGTTTACTAGGTCGACGTTAGGTAAGGAGAACGGGGAGAGAAAGGCGGAGGGGGTTCAAATTTGTTAGTCCTGGGTTTAGTGAAGGTTGGATTCTCGAGAATGAGTCGGCGAGCTCGGAAATCTCTCCCTCATTCGCAGCCAGCCCTTCTGTTTCATTCGCAGCACTTTTGTGAGATTGAGATAGATTTATCTCAAAGTTAATCTGGTCTTGTGCCTCGTCCAGTTGCCAGATTGCCTCCTGTGCCTGATGCAAGGAGGAAAGAAGTGCAATAATCATTCCCATTACTCTGGATTATTTGGACAACCTCCCAATCAGACTCTCCCACATTACGCGACGGGCTCTCATTTCGTTCAGCTGCCTTTTCCTTACTCTACATACGATTGTAAATTATTTCAGCTACGAGACCGATGCCCGATGCCCGATGCCGCGAGTCAGAAGATCTTCCTACTCACTAGTTCAACAAGGAGATAGACTTATCTATAGCAGCAATTTTCGGTCCCACAGTGTCGGAATCATGGTTTTAGGAGTCGATTCAATGGTTTTCAGGTGTCGACATTGTGTTGTTGATGAGGAGAGACCTGGCAACTTGTCCATAAGCGGTGCAACGCTTCCCACCATGTTCCAACGAGTGTCAGATCTCGTGATAAAGTCGAAGAGGAGGTAAGGTTGCACAGATTGATTACCGTAATCTTAAAAATAAACACACAGACAGCGAGAACGAAATTTTTGAAAATTGAACAGTATAAACCGAGTCCTGTTACGTAAAATGAATTGTACTTCCTTTAAAATACATTGCACTAACTTAAAAAGGCAACTACTAGTTGGGGCAATAAGGACGCAGGGACTTAGCTAACTACACTTGCCTTAACATATAATACAAGGGACTTGGTTACTACTTGTATATAAACACATAGTAATCTATGTCTATTGTATTACCGTCTCCTATCGTCTGGTATATAACTTAAAGTTAAACCAACAGTAGTAGAGGTTACACATCTGAGTACTAGTATAAGAATAGGAAATTCTATCCGAACGATATCATTTAAACAATCCAAAATAAGACTTCGAGTTAAGCGAGTAGAACTTCTGTAAGTCTTGTGACTTTGTGGTTCGCTACCAAATATCGTAATTCTACTTCATTTAAGCTGAATAGGCCGTTACCATATAATGATAATATAGCGAATATACTAGATAGAGCTAGAATTGCTCGTAGTACTAAATAGTTGCTAGCGCTTAAGCCACTTTTATCAACTAGCGCATACATCCATGTGAGCTCTTCTTAAGACTTATATATAAGAAGTGGTGGATAAAGGAGTGGTGTTCACGTTAGGTGGGATAAGGGAGTTGTAAATTCGGGCATGGAAATACAAGAAAAAAGCTATATTGTCTTTTCTTAAAGGACATTCCGAATATGGCTAAATTATTCTGAGTAATACCTTCTTTTTATACGATCAAAGGGTTTGTAGACTCGATACGATTTAGGACTTGTATCGAGTCTAGAACTCCAAATTTGTATGATAGACTCTAAATGTTATATCTGAATCGAGCTGAGCCAAACAGGCCATTAATCAATGTCGATTTCGTGTGCAATGCCATACCAGGATGCGCTTGTGTGACGCAATCAGAACGCCAAAAAAGCGTCAAGTTTTCGCGTATCCTGGGGCAACCCAACCTCGTTAAAATACGATGTAGTATAACAATAGACTTTACTGGAACACCGTAACTTTCCATGAAGATATTAGGATCTTTAAGCGTTCACAGTGACGTTTGTGTAAGGTAGGGAGAGGGGGCAACCTCTATCATAAATACCCCTCGACTGTTCCCCTTTGTAGACCTACAACCATCCCAACACACCCATCTCAGCCTACACATACTCACGCACACGGTATACGAACTTATATCCAACATCTTCAAACACCAGCCAAAATGTGTTTCGCTACATACCAAGTCGTCATTACAGCCATCACGCTCTTAGCTGGTGTGCCAGGGGCATTGGGAACCGACTGTACAACCACGGATACTTGCCCAACCTGCGCTGGTTGCGCTGTGCCACTTTGCGTGTATGTGCCGCCTCAAGTACCTGATCTTACTTCTGTTTTATCTACGTCACTTTAGAGAATACATAAAGCTTGTTGCTAACATAGAGATTTGGATTATAGGGCTGGCCAGTGTGAATGCGTTGGTGATGCGTTTGACTGTGACTAAGCTTGGCTGGATGTATGGGTGACAAAGAGATCAGATGTGAAATCTCTTTCCGTCGGCGGCAGTTTGCACCGTGAAATCGTGGATTTTACCTTGAAAGTTTGGAATGTTCGGTCCCGAAAGTCCTCAATCCACTCGGTCTGAACCCCATAATACGTACTGAGCTTCTTCAATGTATTACTGTGAATGACATACATACATACTTACCACCCACTGTGATGAAGAAAGCCCCTTCTTATTCGGTCCTTCTAGATGACAGAATTGAGTTCTCCTATACAGTTTGACGGTTTTTCCTATACAGTTTGACAGCTAACCTATTTAGGCGAACAGGGCGTTCCGCATGTTCTGGTGGCTCGGCATTTCCCACTTTAGTAGTATTCTGGGTGTAAGTAGGAAACGCGTCTTTATTCTCATTTGAAGCTATTCACACTTGATCAATCTCACCCTTCTATTATCACTGCCCGCGCTGCCGCCACTTATCGAGCACTTATGCTAATAAACAAGGTGCCTAACCCTGACCCTAACCTAAGGGGGTAGGTGAGATCTTAATAGCGTAGGTGGTAGGGGTTCATGTTCCGCTAACCCTGACCCCTAGCCCTAACCCTAACCCTAACCCGCCTAAGTTGATAAAGCCATATCTGTGTTTTGAGTACTCTGACACGAGGAATGCTTAGAACGCCTTGACTTCCTAAACGGGTTAGCTGTCAAACTGTATAGGAAAAACCGTCAAACTGTACAGGAGAAGTCACAGAATTGATTAGAATAATGAACATATTCGAGTTGTCAAAACACTTGTAAAATAAAACCCGAATGAGCCGGAGAAGATGGAGCAACGAAAGTTATCAACTGCCACACTGAGTGACCACCACAAGTCTGGATTCCGAGCCAGCCACGAGAATCCTATTTTCCAGATAATCGGTTCGCTAAAAATAGCCAGAGGACTCCAAAGCATGTATTCCCACTACAAATAATTGACCAAATACGGAGATTCTCCATCCATCAGATCGTCATTTCGACAAAAATTGACAAGGATTCAGTCGAAACTATTCCTTCCGATTCGCAATGATCGAAGGGTTGTACGACTCCCCCGCGTTTCACCTCTTGGAGATCTTCCTCCTGCCTCGTAATCCTTGATACAAATTTTGTAGGTGTACAGTACTACGGCACAGTAAGAGAGGCGTGCATTGCTCTGTACTGTAATATTACGGCACGATCTCGTTGCTTTTTTCTACTTTAGTAACAAAATTACAATGTCTGTTGTTTCCAAAAGGTTGCTTTGTTTGTTATGGGCAATTATGCTCCATGCATCCTTCACGTGTCATACTTCGAAGTTCCTGTTGATCGTTGTCCATAAGCGAAGGATTTCAAATTTTGCTCGCGAGGATTATGACTTTGCCCCACGATGGATTCATGGTGATTATATTGGTTCCAAATGACGTATGGTCTTAAAAGTTTCGTCTGCTCATGTTGAGAAATCCAAACTAACTAGATTTTGTGCCAAAGATTCCTCTTTTTGGCGAAACGCTCGGAAACATGGCTTTGGAAAACATCTCGAATTCGAGTTCAAGAGCCTAGTATGAGTATAATGATGTTTCTTCCAAAATTGGAATTTATCTTCGTGCTTTAAGCTCTTTGGCTTTAGCTGTATCAAATGTCCCCTTGTATAAATACTTATTTCTTTTCACGTTTGTAGTCTTCAATATGAAGCTCACCTCAACTTTCCTATTCGCAGCCAGTGCTTCGGCCCTCATCGCTGAGAGGTCCCACGCACTGGCGCCATACCTTCGTCCTGATTCAGAGCATCTTGTGCCAGAGGGATATATAGTCCGTTTCCAGCCCAATCATACACTTGAAGATCATTTCGCCAACATTGGTTTCGATGTTCGCCAATTCGCTTCTGTATTTATGGAGATGCCAGTTTCGAATGCCTATCTCTTCGAACTAACTGAATCCAACAATTACATCATCCATGACTTTATTCGCCACGATCCCGGGGTTTTGCGCATCGAACATGACGAATATCTCCACGATGAGCAAATTTTCCACAGAGAAGCTGCTCCACCACCACCAACGTACGCTGAGAAAGTTAAGAGATGGATCAATTCCTTGAGATCGCAAGGTCCGTGGAATCAAGTCATGATCACTCTCGGGAAAACAAATGACTTTGGAGGGGAAACAAACGTTGGAAGTTCCTTCTTTGCACAGTATTCTTTTGTCGACAGTGGTGCAGGAGTGGATGTTTATGTGTTTGATTCCGGTATCAAGGTCGAGCATGAGTCTTTCAAAGCTTTTGGTCGTCAGATTGCTACACATTTCAAAGGCAAGAAGACCTCTGATACATCGCCGTATTGTGGATCTGGCGTTGTTATGGTAAGAACCTTTGTCGAATTCTCTTATCATTCCTTGTTGGATCTGGCTTCTAATTACTTCCTCTAGGACGACTTGTTGGGACACGGTACTCATGTAGCAGGCATTATCTGTAATAGAGATGGAGGGGCCGTACACAAGGCAAACTTGATAAATGTCAAGGTCCAAAAATGCGGCGGGAGTATTGGAAAAGTCGAGACTGCTGTCAATGATGTTGTCACTGCGCACAATAACAACAAGAGCAAGCCACCTAGTGAATGGAAGGGCTCTGTCATCAACATGTCCATTGGATTTACGATTCTAAACTTTCAGGGGCTTCAAGATGCCTTGAATGCAGCGAACAATGCTGGAATTCACATTGCGGCAGCCGCTGGCAACCAAAGACAAGATTGGCTTGAGATTCCGGCAAGGTACGTCTAGCTCCAGTTCAATTATAGGTAGTAACCTTACTGACGAAAAGGAACTAGATTCGCATCCACCTTCAGTGTTGGGGCTGTCGATATTGACTACAACCGGTGGACTGGAGGCTACGCAGGGATCAGGGGGTCCAATTACCACAAGAAACTCAATATCTAGGCGCCCGGAAAATCCATCTGGTCCTCGTTCATCGATGAAAAGGACCCAAATTTACCAACAAATACGAATGGGCAAGTGGTACCAGTATGGCAAGTCCACATGTTGCCGGTGTGATAGCTATTATCGTGGGCTATGAGGGCTACAAATCACCGAGCGCCCAGAATGTTTACGATCGCATCAACAAAAACGCGATTGCGGCAGTGAAATCAGATGATGAGATCAAACGCGTTGGGGCTACACTCAACCTCCTTCAGTCAGGTATGAAGGGTGGGACCAGAAGGACTTCTGCCGATCCATATGATGGAATAGGCCATGATGAGCTTAAGAAGGCTGTCGTTGCTGCTGCGGATGATGCTTCCGACGCTGCAACAACCACTGCTGCAGCCGAAAGTACAGTGACTGAGAGTATGTGTTTTAACCCCATTTCTTCTCTTATTCTGTGCAATATGAGTACTGATTTTTCATAGACGCTCCATTCGCAACCCAAGCGCCTCCCAAAGACGACAAAGCAGACTTTGACGAAACAATCGAAGAAGACGACGGAACTGACCCTGCCGATCCAATTGAAACCAAGAAATCTAGCGCTACAGCCACCAAAACATCCAGTTCAGCTCCCAAATCAACATCCTAAAAGACCACTTCGACTCCTAAGAGTAGTTCGGCGGCCAAGACAACCAGCTCCGCTCCCAAGACAAGCAGTACAGCGAAACCAAAGCTAACAGCTTGTGATTGTAATGAAAATGGATGTACTCCTGAGCCTAAGGATGCGGATGGTGGATGTTGTGGAAATGGGACTTGTGGTCCAGATGTTGTACTGAATACTGTCACGTAGTCGTTGTCGCAGCAATATGAAATTGATTGGAAGTTTTAGTAGGCTTCTTTGTCTTAACGATATTTGGGTATATTGGGCTTTTGAAACGAGATTGTTTTGATGTATTTCTCTTAAATGAATATAAGAATAGATTGCAAAACTTCCCTACATCTTGAGAGGTTTGCCAAAGCCGCTTTTGAAGTATCGTAACGTTTAACGAGGGTGAATTTTGTGATACCACGTTGTAGGAAGTTACTTGGAGCGAGTCAAACAGGGACATTTATCAGAGAAACGTTTTAGGATTTTCCTTGAGCGATGAAGAACGATCTCTTGGTTCAGACTTAAGTCAAAGGCGTCAAGAATTCAACGGAGCTCCGAATCATGCATGACGTAGCTCCTCCCAAAGCCTGTAATTGTTCTACCTTCTTCGCGTAATCTATTCAACTAAACGAACATCCGATAACGGGAGTAATTTTCCCAAAATATACGTCGTCACCTACAATTAACCTAGCGAGAAAGACTAATAATAGAGAATGGCCTCTAGCGGCTTTTGCTTTCTGTTTTCTATAAGAAATTTCACTTCATTAAACTCTCAATGAGTCCTATTATAGCGGGCTTGTCAGCTGGTAATTGTTCTACAATCTGCAATATGATCGTCCTCGCTAGTCCCTCCAAGAACCAACATCCGCATTTCTCTGCCCTCTCTACCAATGACGCAGCCCAATGTGCTAAAACCGTAAGCGCTGCAGGATCATGTATGGACACCATTTGATAAAAGCGATCCGAGATCTTGGCCAACCACATAGTCATTCCTTCCAATGCTACTCTCATGTCATCAGAGACAAAACCAATTTCGCAGCACTCGATCAGAATAGCGATGTCTGATATAGTAGTCAGAACGTCTCCAATATCTCGAACATTCTCTGGTCTCCCAAAAGCTTCCGTCATGCGAGAAGGAAGCGCGCTAAGGCGGGTGAGTAGCACAGAGAGTGGTCCCGAATTTGATGGCGGACTCTTTTGAATGATCATACTTGCACGTTCAAATGCTTCGTTCTGGATACCGGCCTCATTGCTATGAGAATCGTCTTGAGAAAGTGTACAATGGCGGATATAGAATCTTCTGAGAATTATCATGATCGACTCCAGTTGAGACGGGCTTTGATTCCAGTGTATGCAAGAGATCACATAATCTATCTGTTCGCCTGCTATACAAGCCTTCTTCTCAACCTCGGAACCTTCCGTTCCCAGGGCACATATTTTGGCCTCGTTGAATCCAGTAGAGAAGACCGAGAAGAATTGCGAGGAATTCTCAGTATGATCTCCCTCCAACATGGCCTGGTTATTGGTAACCGCCAGGTGGTAAGCAGAGAGCCCCAATAAACCACACATCAGCCATCGTTTGGAAAAGGCTAGGGGAACGACTTCTCTTTTCCAGTAGTGGCTTGCGGACCGAGGGCGCTCAGTGCATGGGATTGTGAGGCTCGTCTGAGTATTGAACCAGTAAAAGTAAGTGAGCGTTTCTGTTTCATAATCCGTGAGAAAAGGCTTTGGAAGCGGCTGTTGAACAGGCTCTTGTTCCTCAAGCATTTCGATCTCCCCGAGAATGCTTGCTTGCATCTCTATTCCTGACATTCCTGTGTGAATGGCCTCCGTGACCTCAAATACTTAATTTTGGTACCCCTGAAAAACGTTTGGAGTTTCACCTCGCGGGCAGAACAAGGATGGATTCCAGCATGCCTCTCTTTCTGGTGATGATTCATGCGCTTGGAACTGACAAAGAGACTTCCACAACCATCAACTGAACATCGGAAGCCATCTAAAACAGGTAGACCATCGATAGGCGAAGAATCAGATGCGGGCAAAGGTACTTCATGGGGTTCGAAAATTTTGAGTTGAGAAATTGAGGACATGAGCTTTTGTCTTTCCTCCCGATAGATCTTATGACGGAGTAAATGACTTTCCACAGCGCTTTTCTGGATTGCGTATTGACATTTTCGATAGATCAGCACGCCGTATTGTGCAATGTATTCGAGCATATCCTGGGGGCCGAGTTTTGTTGCCGACATGATACAAAATACTATCAAAAGAAATCCTCCTGTATATAATCCTATCCGATGATATCATCAGTAAAGTAAAGATAGAACGAAGGAGAAGAGATAAGCTCATACCGTTCTGTACGCAATTTCGAGGATCATAGATAGATTTATTTTAAAAAGAAGAAACCAAAACAAAGTATCGGTTTGTGATAGGGAATGGTTATTAGCTAGCTCCGGGTGTAGCTGCCCCTTCGGGACTAGCTTACTTTGGCACCTACAAGTACGCAGGGACTCAGCCAGCTACACTCTTGCTTCGGCATGCAATACAACAACATAGGACTTAGTTATACCACATAATATAGGTCCGTTGCATCACCCATTTATTGACGTAAAGTCAAACCAACACAAAGGATGAAAGCATTTCATAAGAATCATGGAGAAGCTAAGAACAAGCATCGAGGAACGGTGTGAGGGCCCGCAAAAGCGGCACAGCACTAATCTTACAGTGGTGTTTGGACGACAGAAAAGGTGGCAGCGAATAGCTTTCCTTGTTTGAAACTACAATTTCAAAATTCTAGAACAGTCAAACTTTAGTTTTCGAGATGTAGAATTACTTCGAGCTTTTTGCAAGAACACTCCAATTATTCTGGAAAAGATGGGATCACGGAGGGGGCTCTACTGTACTGCCACTTTTAGTAGCCGAGAAGACCCGACCCACAGCCAATTCCAGGCAGCGTGCAGCCAAATGTCAGCATCCATCGACGCTGTGGGGACAGCATAGGAACGCCAGCTAGGAATCGAGCATGTGGTTCTTCCTCGACTCTGTCGGATTCATAAGTCATGGATCCTCTCACCAAACAACGGCCCGTATTACTGAATCTGCCAGTCTATGGCTTTGCTCATATCTTTCTTTGCTTTGAAATGTTCTGTCAAAAAATATCTTGGTTTGAAGTCGTGCTACGGACGCAGTGCATAGTTATGGCCGCATTCTCGCTTGGCTGTAAACATATATACCAAGACAGATTCCCTGACATATCCCTTTTCATCAGCAGTTAAAGCCTCTACTCATAAATCTTTCCTCTTCAAAAATAAATCTCAAATTTGTCTAATTGCCTTTTCCCCTATTTTCTCCCCGTCCACACAAAACAATGTCGGCACCAAAAAACCAAGCCGCATGGCTCACCGAAGCCATACTCCCCTTCAAGTTGGCGATGCACCAATGCCAACAGCTGCGCCCGGAGAGATTGTCGTGAACAATTCCGCCGTCGCAATCAATCCCCTCGATTGTCATATGCAGGACATTGGAGTTTTTGTTCGGAAATTCCCTGCTATCTTTGGATGTGAGGTAGCTGGGATCGTCTATGAAGTAGGTTCGGATATACAAGACTTCAAGAAAGGAGATCGAGTTATCGGGTAAATATCAACATCTTCATCTCAAAGAAATAATTGGACTGACGGTTGCGTTTTGTAAAATTGTAGGCATACCATTAATCTCGTCAGCGGTCGTCCTCAAGATGGCGCCTTTGCTCTGTATACAGTCATTCCAGCTAGTAAAGCTGCTATCCTCCCAGACACGATCTCGTTTACAGAAGGCGTGGTTGTTCCATTTGCTCTGGAAGCTGCCGTTTGTGCACTTTCTGTTAAGGAGCCCGGTTTAGCCATGCCAGGGGTCCCAACACCAGGACTTGGGCTTCCATATCCCTCGCTACAGACGGCCATTTCCACTGGAAAGATACTCGTCGTTTACGGTGGCTCAGCTGCTACCGGCTTGATGGTAACTCAAGTAACAACAGCAGCTGGAATCCAGGTCATCTCCATTGCTGGCGCACACAACTTTGACATCAGCAAAAGATGTGGAGCTGTTCAAGTCTTTGATCATAAAGACTCTTCGCTAGTGAAGAAGGTCGTTGAAGCTGTTCAAAGCTCTGAGCTCGAATTCAAAGGCATTTTTGATGCTATCTCTTCTCCTGGGACTTACGCACAAGACCTCGCCATTCTCGCAAATTTTGGCGGAGGCCACCTCGCTTGCACGCATCCGCCACCTACTGAAGCTCCGGAAAACGTGAAGGCTGGCATGATCTTTGCTGTCAATGATGTGGCGACACCTGTCTGGGAAGAATATGTTACCCCTGCGTCGGAAAGTGGTAAGTTTCAGTGCCTCCCTCCTCCAACTGTCGTAGGCAAAGGTTTGGAGCACATTCAAGAGGCCTTGAAAAGATCAAAGGCCGGTGTTAGTGCGACAAAGATAGTTGTGGAATTGTGAAAAGCAATCATATACGAGCCTTCTCTTCCAGAATCAGCTCCTAATTGTCCGGGTCTCTGCCTATTTTTATATGTCTTGCTACTATAAAATTACAAAATCTATGTTTTTTGCTATCTCATTGGCTCCTTACCTTTCCAGACTTCTGAGCATCTGGTTGACGGCTTAGTATCGTAAAACTGCTTTGGATTCCCGGCAGCCCGGAAAGTTGAAAGCAAATCACTTATCACCTGCTACATATTAGAAGAATGCGAAGTGCAACAGACAACGATCAATTACACATAGACAGTGGCAAACTGTGGAAGTTTTTGCAAGAGTTTCGGACTCCGAGCTTACATACTTTTTATATCCAACTACCCAGACCGCCATATGCAGCAAATGTGTTCTTTCACACCGCGCCTAGGCAGGGGAATGGCATAGCCTTTACAATAACTTTTGTCTAGAAGTGTGATATGCAACAAAAACCAAATATACTTCACAGAAAAGTCTTGTTGCAAGTCGCATATCCAGTAGCTATGAAACTCTATAGTATCCCCTGTAGACTTTCTCCTAACCTTTCAGTGTTCTTAATTCACTGGTTCAATATGAAACTAAGCTAGAATTGGCAAGATGGCTATGGTAGGTAAGCTAAAGTGCGAAGTGCGACAAAGTCGAAGCTGTTCTATCTATCTCTACTTGAAATATGGTAGAAACCACATTTCTAAGTGCTAAAGAGTACAAAAATAGTAGATTCCATAATCAGTTTTAGACCTTTGGACTATTGGACTCGAGATGGCGAAACTGACAAACAGCCACCGTGAGTACTGTAATACGACATGAAGCTACGATATGTAACGAAATGGCTTACTTACTGCTACGCGAATTTTGTTGCATTTCGCACGTCCAACACACCAAACCTGACGTTGCCGTTCTACCACTTTTCCTATCCAAGATTTTGAAATGCTGGAGGTATCTTACAGATGTACACGTGACGTAAGATGAAAAGGGGAAGAGTTTGAACTTTTGAACTTTTGATAGGAACTACTTATTTGGCCCAATGAAATAACATCGAATCCTTAACCCATTTCATCGAAAAGCGAAACCCAACCAGTAGATGTCGATGCAAACAGCCATACAATTCCACTGTACTCAATCCAAAATAACAAACATGAAGCCGTCAATAAAAACCACCCTTCGGCAACGACACAAATATAGCAGTCAACGGAATAGTAGCGACCGCAGCCCAAAGACAAGACCCAACAACAATTCTATCCTGCAGCAACTTTAAAGACTCATTTTTAATCCGGACATTCCTATCAAATACCCTCCTAACCAAATTCTTCCTCTCATACTGTCCAACCCAGCTCTCATTCTCCCACTCATCATTCTTCGGCCCGAAAGTCCCAAAACTACTCCTCGAAGTCCTCTTCCACCCATAATCTGATTCTTTGAACGACTCCGTCTTGCTACTTTCATACCCCATACCCCCCGTCTGACGCCTCGACTGCATCACCGCAGCCGAAGAACCCACCCCGCCAGTCTCAGCATCCAAAAGCTCCTGCTCATCACAAGACTGTTCCCAGGGCTTCAAACACCTCGAGTGCGACATGTGGAGGATAATGCAAAGGCCCTTGTACGCACAAATCATTGTCACGAAAGCCAGATACCATAGGACGCCCGCGAAGATACGCCACCATCGACTTCGAGCGGAGAGCACGAGGAGGACTGCAATTAGGAAGCCGAAGAAGATGGTGCTTACGCCTACCGAGCGGGCGAAGAAGACCCGTGGTTTATTGCCATTGGAAATGCTCCAGCGGACGAAGTTGGGGTGGGATTGTCCTCTCAAGGCGGCTTTTGCTACCCATGCCACGTTAGCGAGGGCTGAGGGATGAGTTGTGTGTTGTAGGGCGTGGAGGCAAAGAGCACGGTCTTTGTGGGAGAGGTTGAGCTCTCGAGGTGCGGTGAAGGCTATGTAGTGGCGCATGATCCTGTTGATTTCTTCTCTCATGGGCTGGATGGTGACTATTTGTTATCAGTAAATGCTTCTTCGCTAATGAGAAAGGAGGGAGAGGGACACTAACAAGGTTGCCAGTTATACCCAGCCTGAGCTGTCACATCTGCATCGCTAGGCACAGAAGAGAAATCCGACTTAGTGGGACTCCGAATCTGGCTACAAAACATCCCAAATTCATCAATCGTCTTCGTATCGCCTGCTTCGCGATTCAAAGGTGGTCCATTATCACGCATTGAAGCATATGAATTCTTTTCTTTCAATCTCGTGAATGCCACCCCATTTCTAAAAATCTCCTCCTCAGATGAGCGCTGAGTAAAAGGCGGCGAAAGAGCCTTCTCGTGCGGGGGCAGGGCATAAAATCTAGTACAATAGTCTTTATACCACAAGTAGAACTGGAGGTTCTCGGCATTGTGTTCGACGTAGACAAGGTAATCCATGAAATCGTTCAGAGAACATGGCTTTGTGAGGAGTTAAGAAAGTGTACTTGCTTCATATCAACATCCCCGGAGTACTTACTACGCAAGTCTGTCTGTTGATTATTTTATCGAATGCCAGATCCTCTGGAATTGCATTCTCCGTTTCTGCATGCATTAGCAAGTAAGAATTTATATATGGATGACAATCCTACTCTTAGCTCTTTCAATGAAGCGAGCGCAATCAGTTGCATTTATTGGACCAACAGGCCGATTAAGATAATCCGGTCGACGATAAAGAAGGATTTTAGACATATTTGTATCTGCACTCGGTACTCTTGGGCTGAAGTAACAGTTCACCAAGAATAAAGAAATGGTTTCTTATAGGCGACCTATGAAGAGTCAAGCAGGAAATCGTCGACTTCAAATATACCTATAAAGACCCCGCAGAGCCACTGACGAAACTCAACCGTAGCGAGCTACATTTCGCCGACATCTCTCTATTTGGAGGTTGATAACGGCGGTCAGATAATTTCATCGCCCGAGTAGTGAACTTGGTAAAACCCAATCTGGAAAGCATCTAGTTCACAGGGCTGCCGGTGTTCCGTGTCAAAACATACAGTTCACTAGCAGGGTATTTCAATGCTGCAGATCCATGAAATTATTGCCATCCCATAAATTTTCGGGCGACGCCCACATTATTTTAGGTCTTCTTTGGAAGCTCGAGCGTCGAGATCATTCAGGAACTCTCTCTGGGAAAGTGAGAGGAGAAAAGGCATACAGCGCAGAGGAAGGAGGGACCGGCTATTAAAGCGCTTTGATGAATTCAAGTAACCCAATCACTTGTTGTCACGACGAGTTTACTTTCTTGATTACATGTAGGGGTTGTCACTACCGAAACTCTGGGATTTGCGAGTCAGCAATGATAAGAGTAATAGCTTCCGAATGTTCTTTAGAAATCTGCCACATGCTACGATTCCAAAGAGGGGATAGTCGGAACGACTAAACTGGCATTATTGATAGATAACCCTGAAGATCTGATCTAGCCGGGGCCATCGAAACCCGCAAGTCAAATAGGCTTTAAGCTAAAGCGGCATAAGACGAACTAGTAGCTTCGGGAAATGGATACACGGAACCAGTAAAGTATAGTTCATAACGCCTCGACGCACAGACGTCAATAGGTTCGTGTCAAATACATGGCGGGAGGGGTAATACCGTACTGTTAAAGCTTGGGGTATCGTGGCGGTTGCTAGATATTACTTCGCGATTACCACTCAACTTTGAAACTCGAAGAAAGTGCAGTATTAGAGATTGATATGATCAGCTGCCTCAGATCAGTAAAAGAGAGGGAAGGATTGAGCAGTATCAATGTGGGGGTAACTGGGATCAATCATTATCCCACGTGGTCAAATAAGCATTGTGAGGTAAACGGCCAGGAGAAACACAAACTTGCTCCATTGTCCAATTAACCAATCTTTTGTACACAGAAATTCGGGCCAACTCCAGCTCGTTGCGAACTCAAAGCATTCCCATAATCGCCGCAACGCAGACAAGTGTCCAGGCGGCCAAGTATGGGAGATACAGTGTATACATCATGGAAACCTTCTTTGCTACACCTGCTGTAGCCACTTCTCCTTGCTTTACTTTTGTGACGGTTGCAGCTGGTGCCTCTGTAATTGTCTTGGTTATAGGGGATGTCGAGGGATTGCCCGCCTGACTCGGAAGCATCTGCGAAGATGACCCAGGGAAGACAGAACCTGGCACTGCCGACGAGGATGTTGCCAGCGTGCCCACAGTAGAGGGACTTAATACTTGAATGCAGCCGTTGGGAGAGCATACCGTTCCGACTGGGCAGCATCCACCCCCGGTATCCGCTGAACACTGTATTGTACCGCTTATGCAAGTCGGCGGCTTAGACGCAGAGTAATCGCAGTGAGAGAAGGAGAACGAACGACAACACACAATCATGGATGGCGTAAACTGAGCTTCAAAACAATGAGTTCCAACTGGGCAACAAATATGCTGATTCCTGTTAGCTCGCATGATAAATTGTGAGCTGACACGATGCTCACAGGCTGATTGAATGCTTCACAGCTCTTCATTTGGTCACCACACTCGTAGTAAGGTATAATACCTGGCGACCTCTCAATCAGGCCATTATGTTCAGTCTTTCGCAATGGCATGAAAGCCATCGTGCCACTATCCATTCCGCCTGAAGTTTCCGATCTCTTAAGCCAACCAGTGCCGCCATCCCTGATATAGTACATATGAACCGTGAACAGGAGTCCACATAATGTGATCGCAAGAAAGAAACAGCCAATGCCCAGAAGCCACGCACGTCGACGAGCAATGTATGATCGAGCTTCTTGTAAGTGTACTCTAAAAGACGAGGTGGTCCGTACAGGATGTTGTTGGGGTTGGGGTTGCTGCGTATGACGAATCATTGACAATCTGGGTTTGAATGAAGAGGCTGGTGTTCTGGAAATTTGGTGCATAGATAGAAGAATGATTTGATAGGCCAATAAAAGGAACGAAAGAGACTCCTGACTGCCATTTACTGGATAATCAAGAGCTCAAGCTGATTAGAACCCTGAGGTAAGAATGCATGAAAAGGGGGTTTGCGGATAGAGGTATTCCGAGGTTGGTGACACCAGATCTTGAGGGTGCTTCTCGCTGGAAAGGAAGTTGGGGAAGGCGCGAAGAGGCAAAGACAGGAGTTCCAAACCCAGAAGGAGCAGTGGAGTGGACAAGACCTTCAGGCCATGAGAAGGATGCTGACATGGATGGAACGATAGAACTTACCCCAAGCATTCCTGCCTTTGTGGGTGAAAGAAGTTACCTGGGTTGGGGAGGCACAGGTCAGTGATTGCACTTGCAGAAACTGGAATACGAGTACCTAGAGTACCTAGAGTATACCCGATGTTTTTGGTCTCCAAAGATCCCATTTCCATTTCCAATAAATCCACCCGTCCATAAGTCTTCTCGCGGTCCTGAAAATAGTGGCATATTCCAAACCACCATCTGCGCTGAACCTTGCCCCAACCATGATCTTTCCAGTCGGATGGCCAATATTTATACCAGCCTCGTCCACACGTTGAGATGAAGTATTTCTTTGTACAACCGAGCCCCCCAAGTTTGCAGCAGCAGTAGCGAGCGCTACAGTAATTGGGATAGCTCGATGTGGTTGCCCTACTGACAAAGCACGCACGATTAAATCCATCGAGCGTACTTCATTGGTTTTGCCAGACAGAAGTTTGTGTGTTTTCGCCCTCGAGACAATGGCTATCTTTGGAATTGATGCTGGCGCCGATTGTTCGTCGACACTTAAGCCCATCGCTACTGAGGCTTTCCTTCGGATTGATTCCAATCTCGTGAGGAGGGTTGGATGTGCATCTATCTCGTCTGGGAGAATTGTCCCGTCGATATCTATAGAATCCGCTTCGAGAAAGACAGCGGGGTTGCCACAATCAATGCATGTCGTCTCTACGTCTTCGATGATATCTATTATGTTGCCAGTCGGTAAAAGCTTGCCAGTTTTTGAGCCACTGCGTTCCATTAGTATCTCTATTGTGGGGTTGCACAAGAGTGCTTACGCAGGATCAATAAATGCAAGCTCGAGTCTGGCAGCAGTCCCTTCAACACCATCGATAGCAAAATTGCCACTGGCAGCGGCTTCACCTGCTATCACTGGAAAAGTAGCGTGTATAAGCTTCTTAGTATTTGTGTTGTGTATTCTGACGGTGACTTCGCCATCTTGCTTGCCCTTTAACATACCACTATCCACTGCGAAAGGTCCAATAGCGCTTGTCATATTGCCACAATTGCTCGAATAGTCCACATCATAGTTCCTGACGCCGATTGCCGCGAAAGTATAGTCGACATCGGCATCAGCATGTGATGGTGGACCCACGACACAAACCTTGGAGAGACTGGATATCCCCCACCCAAGACCATCCAGCTGACGGCCATTGTGATCGGGCGGGCCAATTACCCCACGAAAGATATGCGCCCACTGTTCAAGATCTTGCGGCAGATCTGAATGATGAAAAATCACGGCACGGGAAGTACCACCGCGGTAGTAGGAGGCAGGAAGTCGGTTCTGCGATCGAGGAGGTGTGCTGGAATAGAATCGCGATAGGTGGGCTTGTATAGGTAGATTCGGGAGGGTTGAGAGAGTATTTGAGTGTTGGGAGAAAAAACGTAGAGCTTTAGACATGATGGTCAGAAGAAACTCTGTATAAGTAAGTATACAAGTACAATATATAACTTATGTGAAGTGAACCAAAATTTGACACAGGGGGTCGAAGGGACGCGTGAAGACTGTATGTTTCTTGCAACGAGGCCGCTGGGACCAAACCTTGGAGGACTCGAAAGACCCCATGCACTATCCACTTGGACAGAGCGCGTTAAAATTTGTAGCAACTCAGTCACTCCGCGTGTGTATAGTTGACAGCCGAAGCGTTTTCTTTTCTGATGTCTCTCGTAGCGTACGAGTATCTGAGGTCCACGGGTTGTGGGAGACACGAGTCTGCACTGCTACTGTACGAGTACGAGTACGCTGCTGCCGCTTCAGGGGTACCGATCTTAGCCGGGAGAGGCGTCCAGTCGGATTGATGCATGGTTGACAACCTGCCAAAAGCGGTGCAACAAGAGAGGATCAGTGTAAGGTAGTTCTGAGAGCAGAATCCGACGATACAACATTTTTATATATCTTCATTTTCGGAATTGCATTACGATATCATAATCATACTCACCGTGAGCCTCACCCCGCCATCTTCCCAAGCCGATGCATATGATGCCATGCAAAATCAGACCTCGGCCCAAACTTAGCGGGACCAACCGAGGCTTCTATGACAAGGGACCTTACTCGTACAAGATGAAAGTCATATGCAAAACCATCTGTTGTTCTAAATTCAACAACCTCCCCAGATTCTAGAAATCTTCTTCGAACAATTCATCCAAATCTGATTGACCATACAACATGAAGCCCACACCTCAATGGGTCAAGGACTTGAAGCCTTCGGCTCCTCAGGGAACGGAGCTCATCAAAGCAGAAAGAGACAGCTCCAAGCTCTCGGTCGATAAACTCTCCAAGTTCCTCTTCACCAAAGAAGTTCTGGACCGACAGGCCACCATTCTGAAGATCCTCGAGGCAGAGAAAGTCTTTGACAAATCCCGGAATTATTTCGATGGCCGTCAGGACCGTTTTGTCACGGCATTGGCGAGAGCGAAGCGTCTAAGACAATTACAGGTTAAACACAACTGGACCCAAGATGAGTTCTACTGTGCCAGTGACCTAATTAGCGAGCCAGGACCGTATGGTCTGCATGCCACCATGTACTTGGTATGTACAACGCTCTACCCCCTTCTCCTCACTTTCCGAATCTTACCAACAGCTGCGTATAGACAACCCTCCGTGGCCAAGGAACTCCTGAGCAACACAAACTTTTCCTCGAACCTGCAGAAAACTACGAAGCTATCGGATGTTACGCACAAACCGAGCTTGGGCATGGAAGTAATGTGCGAGGATTGGAAACCACTGCCACCTGGAATCCAGAAGATAAGACATTCACACTTCACTCCCCACACCTCACAGCTTCCAAATGGTGGATTGGTTCATTAGGAAGAACTGCAAACCATGCTGTGATTATGGCTCAATTGATCATTGCCGGGAAGCCATACGGGCCACATCCATTTGTATGCAATATTAGAGATATGAAGACTCATGAACCGTTGGAAGGTATCCACGTTGGAGACATTGGACCAAAGTTTGGCTACAATACCATGGTAAGCGGCCCATTTTCCTTGCTTTAATATAGTCAGGAGCCAATTCTTTGGTCTGCTTTCTTCGGCTCTCTTGTGTGCAAACATAGCGCTGACATGTGATAGGATAATGGATTTTTGCTATTGAACCAAGTTAAGATTCCTCACGTCAACATGCTGGCCAAATATTCAAGGGTAGACCCTGAAACCAACAAATATGTCAAGCCAAGCTCCCCAAGTTTGATCTATGGTACTCTTACCTGGGTGCGATCAACAATTGTTCTCGACTCTGGAAAAGTACTCGCTCGAGGTGTTACCATCGCAACGAGATATGCTTCCGTGAGAAGACAATTTCAGGACCGCGATGCTCCGTCAGGCACATCTGGCGAAAACCAGGTGTTGAACTACAGCAGTGAGTTACCACAACACTTTTCCCCATGAAAGAACAAAAGCTGACAATCTGTCGTTTAGTGGTTCAATACAGATTGTTGCCTTTGCTCGCAGCAACATTTGCGTTGCATTTCACCGGCAAGGCTATGATGTCTCTTTATCAAGAGAACCAGAAGAGAATGGCATCTGCTACAACAGATACAACCCGAGGTGTCGGACCAGAGGAATTACAAGCTGGAAGTGACTTGATTGCAGATCTACACGCCACGAGTTGTGGCCTCAAAGCTCTGGGAAGTACGATTGCTGGCGAGGGTCTAGAGGTATGCAGAAGAGCTTGTGGTGGACATGGTTATAGTAGCTTTGGAGGTATTGGCGCATGGTATGCCGATTACTTACCTACTATGACCTGGGAGGGAGACAACTATATGCTTACTCAGCAAGTTGCTCGATACGTAAGTTTATTTGATTGTTGACTATCAGTTGATTTCAGTGCTAACAACCCACGAAGCTTCTGAAATCTGCCCGGGCTGTCCTGAAGGGCAATGCACCAACCAACGACACCACCAAAATCTTCAGCACATTCCTTCAGAAACAAGACATGGGTTGTGCGCATGATGTTCTCGGTTCCGATTCTGATCTTGTTGCTGCCTTTGCCTGGCGTACCTCTTACCTAACATTTGAGGCCCTCAAGCACAGGGATCTCGAGAAGAACTCTTGGAATTCTTTGCTGGTTGATTTCTGGCGTCTCTCCACTGCTCATTCGCAATATCTCGTGGTCAAGAACTTCTACGATGTTCTCCACTCCGAAAGCTTACAATATGAGCTTGACCCAGCCACCATCGACGTCCTCCACAAGCTCTTCCGTCTCTATGCCCTCGACACCCTCGAGAAGGAGGCGTCAGAGTTCTACTCATCTGCTGCAGTGACAGTTCGTCAAATCCAACTCGCAAGAACCAAGAGTGTCATGAAACTCCTGGAGGAGATCAGACCTCATGCTCTCAGACTTGTCGATTCGTGGAACTTCCCTGATTGGCAGCTGGACTCATCTTTGGGACGCAAGGATGGAAAGGTTTACGAGGATTTGTTCTACCGTGCTTCGGAACTCAACCCTCTGAATGGTTTGACTATCGATCCCTACCCAAACAATGACACTTTGGTTACGAGGGATGAGACCGCACAGTTTAAGGCTAAGTTGTAAAATGTAGATATAGATTAGACACCACTTCTTTCATACAGATTTTGTATAGATAAGAATCGATTTTTTTCCCCAGAAGATATTTGATCTATGTTGGTCCCTTTTGTCCACATTCGCTGTATTACCCAGGAATTTCGGCAGCAATGCTAACTGTGGTTAGGCTAACTTTTAGTGCTTGTGTTGTCCAATGCTATTTGGTTAGGAGCTCGTTCCGTTCACGTATGACAAGTTGTTCCTACGAATCTCTAGAGTTCGACTGGTTGGTGAAAGCCACAGTCTTTCTGGTATTTGCGAGGCTGGCGCTCATTCAATACGCGCGACAGGCTCTACAACGGAATATAAATTACGCATCTTGTACTTGGAGGAATATCTCTTCTTGCAATCAACGAAGTTCATCTTCCCAGTTACGACCTCGTTGGGGGTTCAATTATGCTGAAGCACACGTATACAACACAGAAAGACATTCAGAATCGTCGCAATCTACGTGGTTGTCTTCGCAGTACCTTCAAGGGAGTACCAAACCTCACCCCCAACCAACCATCTGATCGGAGAGTGATCAAAGCCATGAGCTCTTGTTGGTATAACTTGGTGGGATAAATATAGGGCATATCGCGGTGCCACAAGTCGAACAACAGGCATACACTTCTGGTAGTCGGTATGCTAAACAATCGTTGATGTTCTGTCTACTACGTGGAATCCAGGCCATATACATAGCCTGGATTATCACGTGATTAAACACGTGAATATATCGCAACAGCTCTAAATAAGGTATGCAGCAAAAGAAACAGATTCCTGTTGCGGTGTATCCACGACTCCCACTTTGTCAACATTCTTAGAAATGAAATGATGTGGTGCGGATTTTGTAGAGAGAGAGCGCAAGGTTGGGTGTAGTGGAGACTCGAGGGATGATAGACCTTGTCGTGATTGCCTGGCTGATAGGGATAGAACTTGTCAGCTTTTGGGAGTAGTTGTCTGTTTTCTTACTTTACTAGAATCCTGGCGAGTGCTCCAGGCCATTCACCAGACAACCACAACCAACCCGAACTAATCCCACCACTCACATCCCCTCGCTTAGTTCAAACCCCATATATCTCACAAAGAGGGCATTCAAATCCCTAAATACCACATTTCCTGCCACCAAAACTGGGAACAAACCTGCTCGCCTGGCCGAGTCAGTTGGTGTGTGATTTTCCAAAGCGCCACACACACTACCTGTTTCACATACGCATACGCATACGAGGAAGTAAGACAATCGTGTCGGTGGGGCCCTATACTGGAGAAAAAAATCATAAACTCAGTTCGTCTGGTTATTGAACCTGGTAGGAGGTTCTTTTGCCATTTTTGGGGGGATTTTTTGGTATTACTTTTGGGGAGCTGGGTTTGTTGATCTCATGGGGAAGGATGTCTTGTACGGTAGAAGCACAGGAACGTCGGATCTTGACGCGACGCGACAGCTAGCGCGGAATTCTGAACTTCCCTTGGTTTGCGGAAGGATCTCTGGTGCTGTGCTTTTGATGGGTTTGCGGTCTCAATCTTGAGAGAAATCCTATCTAGATACTTCTTCGAAGTAGTCGTCGAATCAGGAAGCAGCGCTATTGAAGCCTCCTCTTCCTCGCTCTCAAATTCAGGACCGAACCCTGGGTTCCGAGTGCTTCATAACCTAAACATGTACTTCCCGTTGATTGAAAAGTTTTTATTGGAAATTATTCTGATATGGCCTAAATTAGTTTTTTTTTTGTATTCCTGTTCATCCTGCTCAGTGCTCGCGGGTAAAGGGGGGAACATATATGGGACCAGCACCTGGGGTTCGGAGTGCCCCAGGGTACCACACCGCTCTTTCTATTCCTGTTCCTAAGTACCGAAACAAAAAAGCTGGCTTTTTGTTATTGCTAATTCCAAGTTAATACAAATGGTGGTGTACAAAGGGGGATGGATGGTTGTGGGCGAGAAAAAGGGAGCACTAGGCGCGAGCTTCCTGCTCTCGGGCGGGAAATATGAATTTGTTGATGATTCCTGCCCCGCCGCCGGCTTACCTATGTCGGTCGTTTCTCCTCACGTGATATAAAATCATCCCCTATACTCCGTAATGTGGACTTCATATTAATGTTTCAACAGAAAATTCACTGGTCAGACTGGGGAAATGGGGTGACGAAGCAGGTAATCAGTGAATATGGCTGGTCGGTTCCGAGGGGGAATTAAGCTTGTAGGGCTAAGCTTGCGGAGAGGTGATATCGATGCAGTGTCAAGCAGAGCAAGATTTTGGATTTGCAAAAGGGTCGGCATTTGACAAATGACTTCAATAAGCTGCTGGAAAGAATGAGTAGAGTGAAGAGTGTTCGAGGTAGGAAATTACACGAGAAGCTTGGCAGCGGCTTACATGTAGCAAGACTGATATACCTAGAAGGGGTGCAATCAGGTTTGTATTGGGTGATTGAAAATTGGATTTAAACTAACGGCGATTGATGTCCAAGATGGATCATATGCAAGAGGGAGGGGGGATTTCAAGCCAGCTTTTGAGATGAGAGGGAGTGTTGAAGCAACATTGAGAAAAGGAATACTTATAGGTGGGAAGAGTTTGTCGTTCTTAACTTTTCCCTTTTATGTGTGACAAGTTGCTTCTTACGTTCCTGGTCGATTGGTTCCAAAGCAGCCCTAGCGAAACCACTGAGGTCTCCTACAGGATGGTACATAGCTCCTACAATACGGCAGTGCCTCTGATCCGTGACTAATCTGAATGGCCCAGGCTGGTTTATCGGTCTTGCGAGAGGGCCTGGAGGGGCTGCGTCAGATTTAAATTTGACTGTTTCCTTCCAGGGATCGAAGCTTGGCTCACCGTGAAACTTGACTGGATGCGCTACTAGTGTTGCGTTTCCAACCTCCCATTTATCTTCAAAAAGGGCGTATTCTAGACCTTCTCCTTTATTTCCGTATCGGTGTGGATAATTTGACGCAGGTTTTGGTCTTTCGTCTGGAGCGGGCCAGTGTTCAAGAATGTCAATTGCTACTTGGGTTGAGATAATACCCCTTGGTGTGCTGAACTGGAGCTCAGACCATCCGCAAAACGAATTACTTCTTGTACCATTGATAGACTGCATAGAGATGTGGTAAGCTTGCTTGTTATTAAGAGTTGAATGGGATATTCGAGAGGTTTATATAGACGAGAAACAGCGTCTGTTCATGTTTTTAATGACCTGTTCTGCCTTTGGCATTTGGCATAAGAAATAATAATATTCTTCAACAACTTCGCATTGTATGACATTCTTTGACTCGTCTCAAACCCCTGATGCAAAGTAAATTGAAACAACTCATGACAATGATATCTACTTCTTTGAGAAGGAAGTAACAAGGATTTAACAGTATAACTGTTCTACAGCAGTTCTTCATGTGATGGTAAAGCTTGAAACCTATGAATACTACTACGTACATGACTGGGTGGTCTTTTCTGCCACTCGCAACATCACTTTACAAAACAAAGTAATATCTCCAAGTAATAGATACACTATACTACTATCTTTTGATTGAAGATAATGGCTTCGATTTAAGTAGAAGCAGGAAGTTGGTTTGGAACACCAATTATAAAACACGCGTCCATTTCATGGAGGTAGGTCACGTGACTATCCGCGGATGAAGAAACTTGAAAAGGTGTAAAGAAAGTGATTGTGAAGGATATGAAGGTCCGATCGATTAAACTTTGGTTATTAATCACAAGATTTGGCGTGTAAAACGAGTCAAATTGGGTTCCTTTGGACTTATTGGCATCATATTGTGAGGGTTGGAACCCATGATGGAGGCTCGGGCCATGCCCTCGCTAAGCACTGACCAAAGTCCTCGTTAAGCACTGACCAAAGTCCCTGCTTAGCACTGGCCATTACCCCACTGCCAAACAGGTTTCTACTTTTCCACACTTTCTTGTTTTGTTCTTCTGACATCATGTATTCGTCATTCAAGTTTCTTGCAAGTTTCTTGGAATATTCAGGAAGCTCTTCCTCTCTATATATAGAGGAAGAGCTCGCATGTATGTAGTCTTCACGCACTTCTTAATTGAATATTCGAAACCACACCTTTGAGCTATTCGAGGTCTGGCCTCTCACACATATAATGAGTTAACCTAGCATCCATCTCTTCTACCCCAAGCGTGGTTTTATCATGTGCAATCAACATGTGGGCAGACTTGAGGATCAGAATCCTAGAAAATGAGCAAATTTCGTTCAAACAGCGTCTATTGATTTTAGCCGTACGTTGTGCATGCGCAAACGTCTATGATATTGGAGTCGAGCAGACCCTTTCAGCGTTGGGTATATTTTGTACTCTTGTGTATAGGGAGAGGCATAGTCTTTTGCAAATATACGAGATTTATAATGGAATTTTGTATCAAGGGACCTATATGCTGGGGGAGATTGCCTTTCACAAGAGCTCCACTACATTCTAGAAAGCTGAGCTGTTGGAAATTCGATTTCCTGGCTCCTTTCAAGTGAGAAAAATTGATCTATAGTCTCTGTTTAACAAACAAGACCGCATAATACTGATAGACATGGTCGGTTTCGTTGATTGTGACTTCCTTTGCTGTTCGAGGAGTCAATGTCTCAAGCGACTCGCCTAAAAAGACGAAAGCGGTTAAGCGACCCCTGATATCGGGAAAGCACATTCCTGGTTCACTTTAGCGAGTAGGCTGCACCGGATTAGGCCTCGAAACAAGCCACCTTTCAGCCGCCGACTCTGTTTCCATCATCAAAATTGACATACTGCAAATATACAAGTCACTCCGTATCCTCCACCAAATTGTTCAATTCAATATTCAAAAGACGTTCTCTTCCACCCATTTTTATCAAGATTCAGTCGCTCAGCATTCGGAGACTAGTCGAAATACACCATGGACTTACCAGAAATGATCAAATATGACTCTTCGATCAAGTATCTCGATGAAGCGGTCGACGCTGGAGACGAACACGACGCCTTCAAGGCCAAGGTCGCTGAAATAATCAGAGACTACCTTCTCACTGGAGACTCGAACTCCGTGAGCCAAACAGCCACCGAGCTTGACGATTACTACTGGAAAACTTACGTACCTACGATTAAAGATACCGAGCTTCTTGACAGAATATTTCCAGTCTTTGTCTCGACAGTTTATCGGGTTGTATTAGAGGTTGCCTGTTTGATCTGGCCTAATGATAATAAACAAGACATGTTAATAAAACTACTACTGGAAATGAAGGAACTGACACCAAGTGAGCTCAAACACAACCGTGTAAGTTTAATAATTTTAAGATCACCACTTCAGAAACTAAAAGAAATTAACAAGCACCGTAGAAAGATCATACCGCCTGGATCGACGACGATTTATTTGACTATAAGTCGAGCGAGATATACACTGCGAAATGGGGTAAGCCGTCCCATAAACCACCTCTCCTACCCCCAGTTATCTCAATCCTCCAAGGCTAATCCACAAACCAACAGTATCCTACAACGATCCCCCAGATGCCCGTACGCAAGCGCTGTATGTACCATTCCAAAACATTCTATCCTTTCTCGCACTCTGCTACCAAAACGACATGGATTCGCACAACCGATACAGAAGCAAGTACTTGAGAGCTCATGACGGACGTTTTCGAAAGGGAGTATCATGAACCACGTGGCTTGGCAACCAATTTCTGGGTCAAGCTTGCTGCAAATTGGATCCTGAAGGCTGGTCCGGTTATCTATGCAGAGTTTGGGGAGGACCCGGATAAGTGGGAATTATGGGCGATGAGGTTTGACGAGTTGGCGGAAAGGTATCAACGGGGCGAGGAACCTACCAATTATTCTGAGGAGGGTAGTGATCCTCATATGGCTGCGATTGCGAGAGGAGCCTATGAGAGAATGAAGGTGATTGATCCGCTTCTTTAGATGCAAGAAATCTTTGGAACTGGGGGTCGTAAATGCGGTACATATCCAGTGTGGATTGTTGTGGTTTGGAATTTAGTAGGGGTAATTCAGTAATGGCTTTTTTGTATTTCGTAGCAACTGCGCCAAAATTGAGAAATTCAAAGACACATCCACACTTTAAAAATATTCCATGTACTCTAAAGGGTACGACCCGCTATATGAGTATTGATGGGTAGTTTATTGCAATCCCCAACTATGTTATTAATGTGTTGAGGGTGAGGAAGCAGACAATGAACAATTGAAATAGTGGCTAATTTGTAAGAACGTAATACTACGACAGCTATTTATGTTAGTAATAAATCAGATACTAACAGACAAAGGATTGTTTACTATTAGAGCGTAGAAGAAAAGCGTAAAGTTAAAATAAAAAAATTATTAAATCTAGAATACTATTTGCCGAATAAAGTTAGAGATCCCTCACTATAAGATAATATAGTAGTAAGTTTCTACGTTAACATAGCCTTTATATAGTCTTACCTTCTCGTAGCTATTCGTGGACGAAGTTGACCGTACAGGATCAAATGGCTTAACCGACTCGATAACACGCACTAAACTTGTCTTAGTCTATATGTCGTACTCCGATTTCGCTCCAAGCTTGTATTAACGATTATAGAATCGGTTTTCGAATAAGCTAGAACTGATACTGAAACTTAGAGCATGTTTGGCTCGCGAGTTACATTAGTTCAAATGTTAGTACAAATCATAAACTTTTGCATCAGTCCTAGGACTTAAGGGCTCATGCAAAAGTTTCCTGATTTGCATGCAATTTGTTCTATTCGGACAAAACATATGTACTACTGTTTAGCTCGCTACAAAAGTTTTTTCTACTTTGTTATATATCTAACGATTCTACTAAATCAGACCTTCTATATTCTCCTACAGCCCCCCTCCCCCTACCCCACCTATAGTTCCCCCTTATACTCGAGTCGAGTCTATCCTATAGTACCCCTCTAGTACTACCTACCCCGCCACCGCTACCTACTATGCCTTTGTGTTATACCTACAGATTAGCTGAGTGGGGGGTAGGGGGGTGTACTGTAGGAGGGAATACTATAGGAGGGGATACTACAGGGAGGTAGTACGTAAAGAGTAGAAAGATTTGCACGGGGATTTGCAGGAATCAAAAAGATCTAAAGGGTTAAGGCCTTAGTTCTTTTATATTCTTATTTTAGTAGTGCAAATCTAAAAACTTTTGCAACTAGATTTGCACCGGATTTGTGACGATTTTAATCTAAAACAATATTTCCTGGCCAAACACTCGTGCAAAACTCGCGAATCTCGCGAATCTATTTATAAAAGAATTACATGCAAAAGTTATTTGTATAGTGCAAAAGTATTTGCCTCGTGAGCCAAACATGCTCTTAGGTCCTATGCCACTTTTAACAATTAAGTACTGTACTAGATATCTTTTCCTATGATCTTTCTTCTGGCCCAAACTCTTTCATGCGCCTATTTTTCGAGCGAGCCAGCTTACGAAATGGAGGATACGTATAGAGAGACTACCTACTTTTCTTCAGCCTCATTCCCGAGCACAAGCCATTTATCCCTTACTCCGTAACACCTTAGAAACCGGTAGGCAGAACGCTTCATGGGGCTTAGACTAAGTGCTCTCGCCAATCAAACTTAAGATAACTAGTCGGATACTACATGCCAAACCTGATTAGGACGTTCTGCCTACCGGTTTCTAAGGTGTTACGGAGTAAGGGATACGATAAAGTTGTATAGAATTTTCTAGAACGTATATGAAAGCTTTTACAAAAAGGAAACGTCGAGACAGCTGATTGGGTTATTAACAAATATGATGCGATGAGACGAAGGATCTTCTACTATTCGAATGTTGGAGGGAAAGGATACAGTTAGAGTAAACAAAATATTAACACCAGGCACCTAGTGCTAATAGAGTTAGAAATTCCTTGCTACAAGATAATACAGTCGTAAGTTTCCACTTTCAACGTGGCCTTTATGAGACTTGCGGTCCAAAAGTGAAATTTTTTCTCTGATATATATCTTTTCACAAGGAATTTGACCTTGAGATACAAACTCGGTAAGCATCGGTCTTGTCCGCACCATCCGTACCAAATCAAAACGGAGTAAATATTAGACGAGCCCCTTTTTGTAAGAAAAATTTCTTCTCTTGGCACTTGCCGAGTACCGAATGTTTTACCGAGGCATGACGTCAACGAAGCTATCGGATTTCGTCGGAAGTATTGAGAAATGCGTGTCTTGCGCGTGGCAATTTCATTTAGTAAGCTCGGAAAGGCGGTCTCTCGTAGACGCGAGGCGGGTTTAAGGACTTTCATAAATGTTCACAATCCTTTTGTCATCATCACTCGCTACTTACGCCAGCTTAGTCATGATTAGTATTATTATTGTGGGGTTGTTTGGGATAAAATATTGGCGAGATTGCATCAGCGTGCATTGTTTGGAATACTTCGGCGGTTCGGTCTTAGAAGCTCCTTGGGCCCCATAGAAATGTTCTTTGTATGAACCGGTTACTGTGTATAAAAGTTTGCAAACGCCACCCAAGGTGCGGCTAAAGGCTCTGGAGGGAAGGCGTTAAACTTTTCGTGCTGACTCGTCATTGCGCAGATCTTATTAAAAGTTCCGTCACCATCTGGACCTGCACCTGAACCTGAACCTGAACCTGCGCACGACTTTAAGATTTCCAAGTGCCGGAAGGTTGATAATCTTCAACACAGGCACCCGGTGAAAGTCAATTGAGCGAGGCTCAACTAAGGACAACCGCAACGCAACCAGATTCACGCTGTGTCCTGAACGGTGTACCTGCTTACCGAGCGTTTATCTCCGTTACGGAGTATGGAATTTGGGTCTGGGTTAAGCTGTGATCATCAACTGCTCCGGGCTGTAGTGTAGCGCCACTTGTGCTGTGGCTATAGGAGCTGTGGTTGGATAGATCGAGATCAACACAAGCATCATCCCCCTACCAATATCCCTTTCAAGCATCGTATGATCGTATCGCAGAGCAGGAAGCAAACTCCTTTCCCATCTCAGCCCGTTACAGCCGGTCTGTTCCTTCTTCGTCCCACTGTGGGGCCCGCCGCCATTGGAGCCAAAAAGCTTCGACTCTAGAACCGGCATTCGTGCTCGGTCGACCTCGGTGTTCAGAGCGGATTATTATTTTCGTTTGGGCACTCCAAATAAATAATAAGCCACCCCCTCCACCTCCCTCCATCACTGCAAAATCCCGTCAACATACCACCTTACCATTGTCCCGGATAAGATACTACAGTTCAAGTAATTGTATCTAGTAAACCGCCATAATGAACGCGGCCGATCAGAACATGATCCGCAATGAGAGGGATGCCTCACCTGAGCGGTTCCCTATACCAGGAACACATCACAATCGCCAAAGTCACGAAATCGAAAGAATACCAACAGCTTCATCCGCTTCTACCTCCTCCGCAGATGTAACTAAGCGACACGGATCGAGGGGAGGTAGTTTGAACCAAGTACCAACACAAAGGGATCTCGAACGACATCCTACAGTACTAAGCAGGATACATACAGCCAAGAGTCAGCATGCGGGCACGATTGGTCAATCTCTTACCACCAAGAGCAGAGACAGTAGGAGACCAATACCCGAAATGGGACTGGGGAAGCCTCTTCCGCCTGCTTTACCAGATAGAGAAGAATATGTAGTTGAATTTTCCGGTCCTGACGACCCCTTACATGCTCAGAATTGGCCAATGAAGAAAAAGTGCGTTGTCAACGGTCTATTAAGTTAACTGCGTTTCATACTAACCACAAATTACAGAATTATTACGGCTACGATGTTAGGATTTACAACTGCTGTGTCTGCCTTCACTTCGAGTATTTTTTCAACAGCCACTGTTGCTGTTTCCAGCGAATTCAACGTTTCCACCGAAGTTGGTATATTGGGTCTCTCATTATATGTTTTGGGGTTCGCCATGGGACCACTCTTTTGGGCGCCTCTCAGTGAGTTAAAGGGTAGAAGATTACCACTTGTTATTTCCATGTTCGGATTTTCCATCTTTCAAATAGCAGTCGCTGCCGGAAAGGACCTGCAAACTATTTTGCTTAGCAGGTTTTGGGGAGGTTAGTACCAAACTTTCAACACGCTTAGAAAACTCAGAAGCTAACTTACATAGGCATCTTCGGTGCTTGCCCACTTGCCGTTGTAGCAGCAGTCTTCTCCGATATGTTCGATAACCGAACTCGTGGGATGGCCATAACAGTTTTCTCTATGACAGTGTTCGCAGGTCCACTTCTCGCTCCATTCATCGGTGGTTTCATTGTCGATTCCTACCTAGGTTGGCGTTGGACCGAGTGGCTGGTCGCCATTTTAGGATTCGTTGCTTTCTTCCTTAACCTCTTCTTCCTCGAGGAAACCTATCCCCCCGTGATTTTGGTTCAAAAAGCTGCGGAACTTCGTCGCAGAACCAAGAACTGGGGTATTCATGCCAAGCAGGAGGAAATCGAGATCGATTTCCGTGAGTTGCTTTCAAAGAACTTCAGTCGCCCAATGCGAATCCTCTTCTCCGAACCGATTGTCCTTCTCCTTTCCATCTACATGTCCTTCATTTACGGACTGCTCTATCTCTTCCTGACCGCATACCCCATCGTTTTCCAACAAATCCACGGAATGAAACCCGGTGTTTCGGGCCTTCCATATTTCGGTATGATCATTGGCATGCTCATTGCCGGAGTTTATATTATCGTCACCCAACCATCATATAACAAGAAACTTCTCGCCAACAACAACGTCGTCATTCCGGAATGGCGTCTTCCACCGGTGATAGCAGGAGGTATCTCCTTCACAATCGGAGTTTTCTGGTTTGGTTGGTCCGGCTACAAAGAGAGCATTCACTGGATTGTTCCAACTCTCTCAGGTCTCTTCACTGGTTTCGGTCTTCTCGCCATTTTCCTCCAGTCCCTTAATTACATCGTGGACGCATATCTCATGTTTGCGGCTTCCGCCATCGCTGCAAACACCTTCCTCCGATCGCTTGCTGGGGCCGGATTCCCCCTCTTCTCCTCCTACATGTTCAAGGGCTTGGGAGTCAACTATGCTGGAACCCTCCTTGGTTGTGTCGCTGCTGTTTTGGTACCCATCCCAGTCGTGTTCTACGTCTATGGAGCCAGGATTCGACAGAAAAGTAGCTTTGCGCCTACCGGGCCACCATCAGCGCCAAGCGACGAGGATATGAGCCCGGCTCCTTTGACCGAGAAGGAGCGGGGTGAAAACGCTGTTTGAAGCTCTTCTTCGGAAATCTCGAGCAGGAACAAATCTCTTTCGCTCTGCTTTTTATCTTGCGGTATTTTCTGTCTATATTTTTGATGTCCGTGACGGATGTACTTCTTCTTAATATGGGTTGCGGAGGCGTTTTGGGCTATGGGATTTAGACTACTTGATACCAATCTCTTGTTCTGTTGTTATTAAGCGAAAAGTGGATGACATGATCTCAATGTTATATGGATGGGAATAAACAATAATGGTAAAATATAATGTTAGATAGCAAGAAAACTTTCAAGAATACATGTGCCTCTGATATATCTCGTGTTAGACTTTGCGTCTTCATTTCTTTTATGTTAAACTAATAACTCAACTTAAAATCATTATATTTTATTATTTATTTAGAAGTCAGACTAAGTAAAATGATTCATCGAAAATAGTAGAATGATAAAGATAATTGTTCTAGATATTTTGGATATCTTAGTACCTTGAGTTAACTTACGATAATAGTTAACAAATACCTAATCTCTAAGAAGATGAAAAATGTAGTGGAGGCTTCTTCTATCTTAGTATTTATTTAGAATAACTAAAATAATTTATCTAAAAAGATTGAATAAGAAAGGAAGTTGTTTAAGATATTTAAAATATCTAAGTACTTAGAATTAACTTACGCTAATATTCGAGAAATAAATCTCTACTACCTGCTTCTCTTGTCTACCGGGAGCTGGTTTAAAGAAAATATTACTCGTATTTGCATATTAACATACAATTAGCTAAGTACCCTTTAACGTGAATAACACGCAACTAATTACGTTGCCCCCTGCGTTTAAGCGAGTTCGAAGGGGGGGTAGGTTTAGAGTTAGTCTACAGCAGGTTCCGCGATTTAAAAAGAAAACTCTTCGTCGAGTGAACGGGCCTTTGCGATTATATGAAAAGAATCATGCAAAATAGTCATTCTATCGTCGTCGTCTGCACGGATATGCGTCTTGACTTGCCGCTTACGCTCAGCAATCTTGTTAGAACGAAGAGAGAAATTTTCAATTTTAGATAGTGGCCGTATCTCTCGCTTCTCATGAGCCTTGTCGAGAACACTATATATTTCGGACGATGGGTCTTCGAGGGGATGCAATTTATGGTACCGACACGATGCTAATACGTGGACAATAACGTCTAGGTGGGTCTGGATCAGCCATCTCCAGGTCAACAAAAAAATATAAGACTAACTTACAGCGAAGCCACCGCTTCCTATCCTCGCGGATTTTCTCGAAGTCAATCTCCTTATAGGAAAATCGACATAAGGTTGATAACCAATTGGCCGAATATAGCTTATTCATCTGATTTTTGATCTGTCCATAGTCCTACAAAGCTTCCAGCCTTTTCCGATGGTCATCTGTAATAGTTGCTTACATAGTAGCTTCGCATCGTCCACAGGTCGCTTACGCCAATTGCGCCAATTTGTTCTGGTTTTTTCACTGCTTTCTGGAAAACAAGATCAAGTTCATCTACTCCCGGGATACGGGCCTTTGTGATTGTATGAAAAGGATCACAGCAGGACAGCTGGCAGAACTAATCTAGACAATTGCGAAAAACCGCACTCCAAGTGGTCTTGAAGTCTCCTAATCTTGAACGGCTATGAGAACCAATAGTTTTGCAAGGAAAAAATTTAGAACTCGGTTGACCGTTAATTTATGTGCGAGGAGTAGGGTGGCAAGGAGAAGAAGGAGGTTTATACTCGACATCCAACGGCATAACTAGGAAGGCTAGATGAATGTCGAGCTTGTTAAAACCTCGGGAGGGAAGGACCGACTTTGAAGGTACGTTCCTCTCTGCTGCTCTGATGTGGTCAGGGGGTTATACCTCCATGTCTCTATTAAACGTCGAGTCGAGACCGAGCTAGAGCGAGAAAGTCGAGATGGAAAGGAAGGAGCGACCTCGTCCCCCTTCCTCTCTCGTGTGGGACTGCTGATTAGCAGAGACCAGTTCTGACTCACGGCTCCAATCGAGGAAGGAGGGAACGAGCGGCCTTACACCTCGACGCGATGTCCGTGTTTAAGGAAGATTAGGTAGGTACGACCTTGAAATGACATCTTGAAGCTTTTTTGTCTTAGCGGAATCACATCTTCATCTGCTAAAAAAGTAGGTAGACCCAACATAACATTTACCACGATATCGAAAGGAATATTCGGCTCGAAAGAAGGAACATAATATTCTTAGAGCTCCATGTAATACAACAATTGACACTATATAACTTTACTGAGAACTCTCCCGCGTACCAGAAAAGATACCATCACCACTCGCTCTGCCATTTCTTCCAAATTAGCTAAGAGGCTTGGCTATTACTCAAGACACACCTGAAAGATCAATTATGTCAACGTTTCCTATACAGTCAACTTAATTGTCCCAAATGACCTAAAAGTCAATAAAGATATCTTGCTTTTGATCGTCCTAAATCGCTTGAACTGCACAAGTGTAACCAAGTGAGGCTTTGAGGGTAATATCGTTCTACACTAGGTGTGTGGAGAGTAACGACGGCCTCTCTTACCTCGTAAATGACTTTATTCAGGAATCAGATAAGACCATTATCTCGACACGAATTTTCGGCAGCATAACAGCAACTAAATCAGTGCTATTACAAGTTACTCCAAGTCCAGATAATCTACATTCCGCACCACTACATTTGCCTCCTCATTTCCTCTTCATTCCTCTAATTATTCTTCTTCTTTGAAAAATAGAAAAGAAAGGATTGACATTGGGGACACGCACTATTGCCGAATAAACACATCTTATATATCCTCTACTAAAATCTCACCAAATAAACCAAGAAACACCAGAGTAGATACATCAACGGTGTATAACACCACGCTATAATAGAACCCCAACACATCTACATTAACCTGTATCCTCTTATTTAACGCTCGGCAAATAGACCCTATTCCATAGAATTCCACAATGGAATTCTATTATAGAGTTATTCTAGAGCACCCTTAAAAAGGGATAAAATATTCTATTAAAAAGGCTCTAGAATTCCATAGAAAATAGAGTTCTAGTATACGTAATAACTGATTACTCATCCTACTAATTTTAACTTGTAGACTTAGTAAATTAAAGCTTTGTAGGCTTTGTACACCTCGGAGAGGACTACCGGGAGCTTACAGAGGGCTAGTAGTACTACGCCTACGATTATAGTTTAGCGATATTCGAGGTATAGGAGAGCCACTAGATAATATAAAGGCTCTCTGTCTACCTAGGGTAGTATATAGAGGCGATATAGTAATAGTTAACTTGTAGTATTGATAGTATTAATAAGAATCTATAATATTTAATGTTATTAAGGCTTCCTATTAGTCCACGGGGCCGGATTGTCTTTTTTCCGTGTCACGTGTAAAATTCTATGGAACTTCTATGGAATCGGGGTAATAGAATGGAATAATTCTAGACCTTCCTATAAAAGGAACGGAATATTCTAGGGGGGGTGTCTGGAATGGAATGGAATTCCAGATGCCGAGCGTTACTCTTATTCCCTTCGGCAACAAGTAAATCCCACGGTCTCTGTATTACTCCACAGCCTCTCTCTATCTCGATTCTACAATTGATTTATACTATTAAGTACACTTCAAGTACCTCCACAAAAACCACTCTCTTCGTATACCTTCAACTCATAAATTAATACAAACGAGCGCAGTGGGAAGACCCACTGACTATTACCTTGCTCCTCCTCTAAATCCTTTTTCTCTTTCAAAATTTACCTCTCTATGTTAAGCGAAGACAGTCCTCCCCCCTATTCCTTCCTTGTGAGTACTTGTATCGTAGTGGACTGACGGAATGTACTGGATCCTAATGGATCTCGTGATATCATGCAAAATATCTCGTTGAAAGGCCCCTTGTAAACTTACCAACGTCTTTACGCGTACGAGCTCTAACAACAATCCCGGAGATCCTACTCCCAAGAAAATAAAATACCTATCAAAAACCATAGCAAAAAATTCCAACAGAACGAGATGGGATGAAATTCAAAAAGCCTAAATCTATTTCACCCCATAGAATCTTCTCTTTTACCTCAAGAGCCAAAACCACTAAATTTTCCAAGTCCTCCAAAAGACAAGTCTCCGATTAACTATTTTCAAGACATCACTCACATAAAAAGCCATAAAAAGAGAGAAGGCATTTTGCATGCTAAAAACGATCTACGAGGTATACTAAAATGCAAACTGAACTCAAATCAAAAATTCCATCTCTCCCCGAGAGACCATCCAATCCACCCCTCCATCCCTTTCCAAAATATTTCCAAGCCACCTAACCAGTCCCCCCATCCCATCCATATGAACAACATAAGATGATACGGAATGGAAGCGCCTTCAAAAGTTATTACCTTCCTTTCCCTTTCCCTTGCCCACATGATCCAATCATCCTGCCTACCGTTTCCGAGATAGGCATCCGAGTACTGAAACCCGCTTACAATAGAGGAAGCCAAGAGAGAAGAAATAACGTATATCGAAGCGCAAGAGAGCTAGGTATCGCAGACAGGACCAAAAACAAGAGTCGCTTAATCGCCAAACAAACATCAAAACAAAAATCAAACAAGAAAAATCAAACATCGACAAAATGAACCACCACCATTCTAACCCCTTTTTGGTGAGAACAGATAAAACCCAGCCTTGTGAGCTGGGAAAAAGACTGCCTCTCCTGAACAAAATGATTCATGTATCCAACCAATAAAACATCCACAAAATTCATTCCAACACTCCATGAACCAAACGTACCCCATCCCCGAAATGAGTCGGAAGCTTTTTCAAAAATTCAAAAAGATTCCAAAGGAAACAAAACAAGAAGAAATGCTAAACCAGATGGTATTCCTCCCAAAAATGGGAACCCCCTAAAGAACTCCAGGGCATGATGATATGATATACTCAAGATCTAAATAACCTCGCGAATCCATCCCTCATGGTAGTGGAAAAGTATGCCCGGTTCAATTCATTCGTCTTTTTGTTTTCCTCGTGATCTTTTCAAAATTAATAAAAACCCTGTCATCTATTTCGTGAGAACGGGGTTATAGGCGCAGAGATGTTGTTATTAGGCATCCATTAGTAGAGATCTACATGGTATGACATGAGTCGACTTGTTCAGCTTTTTTTGTTCCTGAGTAGATCAGCTTCATGTCCAGATCATAGTGAGCTTAAGTGGTAACGGACTTGCCTTTTCCCGAAGATTTGGCCGGCGCACCAACTCCCAGGAATGCAGATAATAAGGAACTTCTTGGTGGCGGCTTTTTCTTCTTGGAGCTCGTTTTGTCATTAGGCCCTAAAACGATAACAGGAGCCCCTCCAGGATGGTCAGCCATAGGGCGCCCACTGTGTGGAGGAGGCCAAGGACCTGCTGGTGGTGGAGGCGGATGGCCGTGCTGTCCTGGTCCAGGTCCAGGTCCAGGCCCAGGTCCCCTACGCTCACCACCTGGTGGAATTGGTGGACGTCGGGGATCATTATTTTGGGCATGTCGACTTCGAGGTCGCTCTGAATCACGATGTCCATGACCGCCAGGAAAGGGGGTACCCTGCTGAGGACCTGGTTCCGGAGCCTTTGGAGGTTCTGGCATTGGCCACATATGCATGGTAATTGCCCAGTCAGGTTCAATCATAGTCTCCCAAACTTGGGGAAGAATGATTTCCCCATTAGGCCCTATCAGATCATAATGACCCTCGGCTACATGTGGTCCAATTACTTCAACGTGAAGGAACGCCTGCTTGATCAACTCCTCCATGCCCTTGATGTATGTCAGTCAAGTTGCCATTCAAAAAGATAAAGTATCACTTACTGCCCACGTCGCACACAAATGAAATGGAAAACTGAACTTCCGGCCAACGGCATCCTTGAACCTAAGTGGTTTCTTCGGAGCCTCTGGTACTGGTGCTCTAGCAGCAACTTCCTTTGCGATTGCAGCATCGTGCTCTTTTTGTGCCTTTTCGGCCTCTTCAGCGGCGGCCTTTTTGAGCTTCTCGGACTCTTCTGCGGCAGCCTTCTTGAGCTTTTCGGATTCTTCCGCGGCTGCCTTCTTGAGTGCTTCAGACTCTTCTGCAGCAGCCTTCTTGATCTTTTCGTTCTCAGCCGCGGCCTCTTCCTTCAGTCTTTTTGCCTCCGCAGCGGCCTCATCTTTAAGCCTCTTCTGCTCCGCTGCTGCTGCATCCTTGAGATCCTGAAGCTCTTTCGCTGCTTTGGCCTTCGCTGCTGCCTCGGCTGCTTCTGCTTCTGCTTTCTTACGGTCGGCCTCAACTTGTTTTCGAACATTCTCAGCACCTTGAGCACGGGCAGTTTTCTTTTCCTCTTCCACCTTCTTTTCCCATGCTGCTTTCTCTTCCGCGAGTTGCTTCTCTAAAGCGGCTTTATCTTCAGCGTTCTTCTTCTCCAAGGCCGCCTTTTCTTCTGCATTCCTCTTTTCAAGTGCTGCTTTCTCATCTGCAATCATCTTTTCCCAAGCAGCCTTTTCCTCTGCAGATTTCTTAGCCGCGGCAGCAGCAGCAAGATCTGCAGCATCTTTTGCCTTCCTATCCGCAATCTCTTTCTGAGCTGCTTCGTATGCAAGCTTTTGGGTCTCCATTTGTTGTTGTATTGCTACAAGCTTCTTCTCTGTCTCAGGATCAGGTACCACCGATGGCTCACTCGGCGGTGGAGGTGGCCATTGGGGAACGTTCGCATATGGGTACATGTGCTGAGGAGAAGCTCCATGAGGTGGCATGTGCTGTAACTGCTGTTGATATCCCGGATAACCAACAGGACCAGCAGGGCTTCCAGGACCTCCATGACCCTGGAAAGGCCCGTGTTGATGCTGAGGATATGGCATCATTTCATGGCTACCATATCCTCCCGGGGCGCCATGGTTAGACATAGGAGACATAGGAGACATGGACTGCTGATGTGGATGTTGATGCTGGTTTGGGTGCTGATGTTGATTTGGGTGTTGATTGAAGTATCCAGCTCCTGGAGGAGCTGGGGTAGGCTGTGGAGAAAATGGGTTTCCTGGGGGAGGGGCATATTGGAAAGGCGATTGCTGACCATACTGGGTCAACGCTCCAGCACCAAATGGGGGTGCATATTGACTAGGAGGACCAGAAAAAGCACTGGGAGCGTAGCCTGGCTGAGGTCCCCTGCCACCGAATTGCTGAGGTAGTGCTTGTGCAGCAGGGTAACCTCGGCCATAGGCCGGATAGTCCTCTGAGGGGTCCACGCTGGATGGTGGCGCTGGCACGGGGTGCCGATGAACGCGAGATGCTACTGGTCTGCGACTTGCTGGTTTTTCAGGAGTGGTATGTCGTCGTGTAGGTCTTGGAGCAGGCGGACGACTTTCGCTCTGTCTGTATCGTGGGCCAGATCTTGGACCAGATCTTGGACGTGATGTTGGACGAGATGCGGATTCTGATGGAGAAATTGCCTCGTCAGCGTCGTAGAGCTCCCAGGACTCGTCTTCGTCCGAATAATGGGAAGGAACTGGATTTCGGTTAGCTATTAAAAAAAGTTAAATTGATTCAGCCACTGATGAAGAAAACATACCTCGAACTCCTGACCCTTCCTCGTCGGTGTAAGAATCCTCTGATTGAGAGGTAGAACGGGACGAGCTGTTAGATGCGGATCGTTGTGAATGTTGTGAGTTGGACTAATCAATTGGTAAGCAGACAAGGACTATGATCATGAAAGTAAACAAAGATGACGAGAGGGAATGGAACCGGAAATCGACCACCAGCAACCATCTTGAAGCTTAAAGCGAGGTAGACGGCTTCGTCCAATCTGGGCAGATATATGACAGCAGCACAATCGAGATATTTTTATCTCCGCAGCAGGAATGCTGGGTGGGAGTGAAAATATCCTTGTCAATCACTCTTGTCTACCCCTCGACTATTCGCAACAATATAATTCAGCCAGAAAAAAAGTAAATTGGACACAATGGCATTTTGTGCGTGGAAGAGCCGCGCCGAGATATTATGTATGTGCTAGATGGAATTGGACAACGAATTGTGCATACCTCGATCGTGATAGTTGTGCTGCAAAGGCGGGGTTAATCAGTAAAAGTTTATGCGGTGTGGATGAACCAATGACTGGCACGGAATACTCACGGCATTGGGACTCGTCTATTCAAGGATATTATCTCTCAGCCACGACTTTCTACCCGAGAAAGAGTCGTGGGAGGATAATCCTAAATTTTATACGGGAGGGGGGGATGCAAGGGCAATGCGCCCTGAAAAAGATACTTCGTAGTTGTCGCAAAGTCTCGGTGCAATGCGATTCTGCGACTCGATGATGGGCTGAGCGTCGGAGTCGCAAGACAATGTGGAGAGGTAGCAGTGGGGTAGCGGCTTTGGGTAGAATTGGGTACGAGTGATGCTGGTCGCAGATATTCAATGCAAAGGGTGAGTATGGTTGCTAGTGATATCTGGGGTGGTGATGGTTGATGTCGCGCTTCGAGAGCGGAGGGCGGGCAGTCGGGCGATGGGAAAGCGCTCCTAGGGGCGATGAGTGACCGTAGAGGGCTTCGGATGAAGGATCACCACTCTAAGAGTCTACGAGGAAGAATGAGGCTCTCGTGGAGCAGGCGTCGAGGTGGAGTGGTGGAGTGAGGGTACGGTGTTTTTGGAATTGGCACAAGTCTATGGAAAGAAATCTGGTTTGGGTGGGGTTAGCGGTGCCGCACGAGGACTTCGGGAAGGGAGGCGAGAACGGGGATGTTGGCTTGAGCCTGACCGAAATGGACTGCCCGCAGCTGGAGGACATTATCGCTTGGCTTGGCTCGCCTAAACACCAGATCCTGACCCCTCTCTCTGCGTCTGGGCTGCACTTGCGGGAATACCCAGAGCATACGGAGGCATTTGCAGGAGGAGAGGCAACATCCTCGATTCAACGGAGAAAGAGAGGAATCGTCGAGCGGTTCAAGGAGACAGATTTCATACCTGATGCGACTCTACTCGAGGATCTAGTCGAAGCGGGGAACTTTTATTGCGCACAAGGATCTGAACCACGTTGGCTGGTATGGTCTTCGTCTAACAAAGATCACGGATGGGATAGCAAACACGGTCAGTGATGTTCGAGGGACTGGGGAAGGACGATCTCAATATGTCAAATGTGGTGTGGATATGTGCAAAAGCCGGCGGGCTTGAGGCTGTTGATCATTTATGTATCGTGCCGGATCCTGATTCTGGATGGTGGGGGTTGTTGTAATAATGTCTGGTTTCTAGAGCGATGGCGTTGCATGATCAAAGCAATCTTCAACAGGTGGTACGACAGCAAGAATCGATTGCACTCGTCTCGGGTCGACAGGGTAACTAGGCTGACGAGCGTCACGGCTGTGAGGCGAAGAGCGGAAAGGGGGTGTTGGAATGCACGAATGCAGATGAGTTGCAGCAGAACAGACAGGCAGGACCTCCGTAGCCACAGTCTGTCAGTCACTTACTCAGAAAATATTGATGATAGAGGGCCGTAAGAGGAAGCGGAGGGGGCGGAAAAAAACAAGCAATGCCTTGAATATGCGCTGGTCACAGCAGGAGAGGGAGAGGATTTGAAAAAGTGATAGCCTGATTGCGCCCTCTGCTGGGGTCAATATACTCTACTTATACACACACATCCATACACACCTCGAACCGTCGCGTTTGTGTACCTGTGGCCGGGTAGGGTAACAACGAAACGTGTTCCACATTTGCAAAAAGAGTCATCGCAGGATAAACCAGGTCACCACACGAGATCCGTACCAGCGTGCTGTTCTTCAGCCGCCAGAAATATCAATCCTCGCCCTCGCATTCCATCTAATTATCGTTGACCGCCCGTGAGATAGCGTAACATCCTGGGGGTTACTCTTTCGTGTGTCGACCTAAACCGACCCACTGCTGCCCGAAGCAGCTACCCAAGCAACCCAACCGGCCTACCACTGCAAAACCATGCACATCAATCTCGTGATTGGTTCAATTCCTCCAAACGCTACCTGTCATGTTGAGCCACGATCAATTGCGGGCCGGACCATGACAGGGAGTAAGAAAGATAGACGTCGTTCCGCATGAAAATACGCCTGGGAGAAATGGGAGATATGGATAAAAAAGTGACAATTCCAGCAACGCCCATCTCGCCACACGTTCCAGAACCTTCCCCTGAAAATTGGTACCGGCCTTGAAGACCCATCGCGTTGAACCAGATATACTGTGCCTTGCATACTTCGCCATGAAACCATCCATCAGACAGTCTAAAATTTTATCGTGTGATTGGTGTTGAGTCTCGATTGAGCAATTCTTGAGCGGCAATAATGTCAGATTGGTCGTATCCTCCCCATCCACTTTCCCCACTGGCATTTCTTCGAACTATCTCAGACAATTTGGATGTCGCCAACTCATTCAGGCTTTCCACTGTCTTGAGATCTGGGGGAGGAAGTCCAGTATCTGTCTTTGATTGACGAGAACCTTGCGAGAGCATGGTCAGTAGCCGACTGGTGGTCTATGATTGGTTAGTATCCACAAAACGAAACTACGTCGTATTCCATATACGTACCAACTTCAAACCATAATAACCTCGGAGATAATCATCGCACAATTCAATACTCCTACAGAATCGTCGCATAGATTCCGAAAGACTCCTATCAGCTCCGCCCTCGTTGCTGGAAGCCGCCACGTACAAGACTTCGCCCAGCCGAGCATGCATCTAAATTCGGTCAGCGATTGAACATGCAACAAAACGATAATTGGATAAATACTAACGTTCCAGGCATATGGAGTGATCAGCAGCACCTCTTCCAATGCAAAGACAGCTTGGGAGTACATTCCCTGTGACAAATATAAATCTGACAGCTCTGCCCATGCTTCGGCATCTGTTGGGGAGGCATCGAGCAGCTCATTAAGAGCCGTGATAGATTCAGGGATCTTTTTGAGAATTTGGAGGAGGGCGATTCGACGCTTGGTGACAGGCTGACCGAGTTAGCAAGCCTTTTGATTAACACAACAGCTCGTGGGGGGCACACACCATATTGCTCGAGTCCTGGGCCAATATTTTCTCGTACTCCTCCAGCACCTTCTTCAACGCCGCGTCATCTTCCGCTGTAGCTTCCTGGAACAGTCCTCTCAATGCCATCAGCCGTTCATTGTCCGCGCCGAAACGTTCCGTCAATCTTTGCAAACATAGATGGGCCGATTGCTCATCGCCAGTCCGCAGACAGGAAAGCATGAGGTTTTCGTAGGTTGTCCACAACTCCGGTGATTCCGCAGCCGACCATAGAGAACTAATTGAGTAGGGAGAGATGGCGGAAGGCGTGCTACGAAGCAATGCTGGAGCTTGCTGAGACAATTGCAAAGCTACCGTAGGTGGTAGATGCGCCGGAGGATGTAATAAGGAGGACGTCATCGTGGAATTCGTAGAAGCCAGATCAAAGAATCCAAGACTAGTTGGACTCGTATTGTAAGAACCTGCGCGTAGCTGAAGTCGAAAGATTGGTATCGTACAAGGTGAAAGTCGTGGGCGTGGATGGCAGCGTTCAGAGGACACAAGGTGTGGAGTTGAACCCCTGCATGGACAGATGTAGCCGACAAGCGCTCTCGTTGCCGCATGGTCATGGTGGGGGGGATTTAGAGAGCAGCAGCATTCACACCTCACCCACCCTTTCTACATACATGTACCATGCGAGCTTAATGCAACCAAGGTCGTCGCATAGAAATGATTTAGCTTCGCGACATCCGAGTGCCATGTTTTTCGAGTGTTTTTAAGGCTTTTCCTCTCCCCTCTCTCCTAGAGCTGTGCTACTTTACCACCCAAAAAGAAGTGTTGGTTGAACCAAATCGTCACCATGTGCGCCTCTCCCCAAAGCCATCGCGGAGACGCTCCCTCTGACAATCATCTGGCAGGTTTGAGAAGTCTCTTTACGACCTCATTCGAGGATTGCGGAATCACAAGGGAAACGAGAAGGAATATATCCAGAACAGTTTGAAAGAATGCCGGGCAGAAATCAAGGGCCAGGACATGGGTTTGTGGAGGAATTTCCGAGGGACCAGAACGAAGACTGATGAAGATGAATAGACCTCAAGGCCACGGCTCTCCTAAAGCTGGTCTATCTAGAGATGTTTGGCCACGACATGTCATGGGCCTCTTTCCACGTCCTCGAGGTCATGTCTTCCCCCAAATACCCACAGAAACGAATAGGATATCTTGGAGCTGTCCAGAGTTTTAGACCGGATACTGAAGTTCTGATGTTGGCAACAAATTTGTTGAAGAAGGTACCGGTCTTTCAGGGACATTTGAAGGAAACCTTGCTGAGCAGAAATTAGGATTTGACTTCGACCTCCCCTATCACCATGTCCCTTCCTATAATCACGCTCCCCCATATAATCACCCCTTCTCTGGCGCTTTCAGTTCTCTCTGATTTACTACCACGATTAACGCATTCTCACCCAACATTACGGAAGAAGACCATTGTAACACTTTATCGACTTGCACTCGTCTATCCCGAGACCTTACGGCCCGCCTGGCCCAAGATTAAAGAGAGACTGATGGACGAGAATGAGGACCCAAGCGTGACGGCTGCTATCGTAAACGTGGTCTGCGAATTAGGATGGCGGCGGCCCCACGACTTCTTACCCCTGGCCCCTAGACTGTTTGAGCTTTTGGTGGACAGTGGTAATAACTGGATGGCAATCAAGTTGATCAAGCTGGTCAGTGAACCCCAATATTAGACGGATTACATTCGCTAATTTATCCAGTTTGCAACTCTCACACCATTGGAACCTCGACTCGTCAAAAAGCTACTACCTCCTTTGACTTCCATTATTCGTACGACTCCAGCCATGTCATTACTATACGAATGTATAAATGGGATTATTCAAGGTGGAATCTTGGGTAGCAGTGACGAGTCTGCAGGTGGTGAAGAAATAGCAACACTTTGTGTGAGTAAGCTTCGTGGAATGATTATGGTCGAAGGCGATCCAAATTGTAAGACTACTACTCTCACCCCCCTTTGGATGCTAACATCCTCAAGTAAAATACGTTGCATTGCTTGCATTCAACAAGATTGTCGTTACGCATCCTTTCCTCGTTGCTCAACAGGAAGACGTGATCATGGACTGTCTCGATAGTCCGGATATTTCCATCCGATTGCGGGCTTTGGATTTAGTGGTTGGCATGGTTAGCAGCGAAAACTTGATGTCAATTGTTGGGCGATTGATGCGTCAGCTGCGAAACTCTCGCTCAGCAACAACGGAAGAATTGAACCAAAGACAGGCAACCGGAGTGATCGAGCCAACAGCGGATTCGGATGACGAGGCTTCAGAAACTGCAATCAGACCTGATCGAGGGACAGAAGAACCTCTTCTTCCTGACAATTACAAGACTGATGTTATAAATCGAATACTGGAAATGTGCTCTAGCAACAACTATGGTAATCTCGAAGACTTCGAGTGGTATATTGATATCCTCATTCAACTAATTCGCAGCGCACCCATTTTGAGATCCAACTCTTCTATAGAAGATTCGCACTCAATGACGAGAAACGGCTCAGATGTATCTGAAAGAATTGGGGACGAATTGCGGAATGTCGCCGTCAAGGTTAAAGCTATTCGACCACCGGCTACAAAAGCAGCTGAATCGGTCTTGATATCGATGTATAACGGCAACTCATCATCACTTACCCCAGCAAGTGGAGCTCTTCGGCCGTTGTCATGGGTTATCGGGGAATATGCGGAGCATTTGGACACACCCGACGGAGCGTTGACTGCTCTTGTTCATATAACGAGAAGCTCGTCACCTTCCGACGGGTTAATTATATATTTGCAAGCTTTACCGAAGATATTTGCGTTGATGGCTGGGGAAGACCAGTTGGGTTGGAGTCCTGAGCGGAAGACCATGGTCTCTCTTCTCATGGCCCGTATTATCCACACACTAGAGCCCTTGGCTATGCATCCAGATCTTGAAGTACAAGAAAGAGCCGTTGAATTTGCGGAACTGTTGAAACTAGCTGCTGAGGCGTCGGCTGGTCAGGATGCATCCTCAGATATCGGGCAAGATGCACCACTGCTTCTGACACAAGCTATTCCATCCCTGTTTTCCGGACAAGAATTGAACTCGGTAGCCGTTGGGGCACAGCGGAATGTTCCTTTACCATCCGGCCTAGATTTGGATGAGCCCATCAACGCAAATCTCAGCAACCTTCTGCGGGCGGTAGAGGCGGCAGCATTAAACGAGCCAAATGAAGACGACTTTGAGACATACTATCATAAAGCACCCCCTTCATTACCAAATCAATCGCAGCCTGCAGCCAGCCGTATTGGGACAGCTCCAGAGGAGATAGTCAGTTCTTATCAACAGGGAGGCGAGGAAAGTTACTTGGACCCAGATATTGTCGCTCGCCGACGTGCAGAGCGGTTAGAAAGAAACAAAGATGACCCGTTCTACATTGCTCCAACAGAAAGCTCTGGCACATCTACGCCCCTTCACAATATTCTTCAAAGCAATAATGGTCCTGATCTTGATCTTGACGAGATACCTATCATGCAGTTGGATCTAGGAAAGACGGATGTAGCTATGACTGGACAGGCATCCTTGAAGAGACCCAAACCCAAACCACGTCAAAGAATTCATATAGCGGCAGATGAGACTCTTGGGAGTGGGACTTCTACACCACGAAATGATGACTCGGAAAACAGCCTGGAAGGGGTGCAGAGGCTAAAATCCAAAGGAAAGCAATCCTTACTCCAGGTGGACTCGAGCAATATTGGTGCATTCTCGTTGGAAGGCGATGGCGCCGATACTGGTATTGACTTTGAGCGCCAGCAGCGTGAAGAAGCCGAAATGGCCAAAGCGATGCGAGAAGTGGAAAGGTTGCGGTTGGAGATGCAGAGAGCGAATGAGCGGATACAGGCAGCCCAAGGAGTTTCTCTGGAGGGTACCGTTGTTAAGAAGAAAAAGAAGAAGGCTAAGGTTGTTGACGGCGAGCCCACGGAAGTGGTAAAGAAGAAAAAACCAAAGAAGGCACCCGCAGTGATTGATGAAGGCCAAGTGGGATCTTCCATAACAACGGAAGTTGTTAAGGCGAAGAAGAAGAAGAAGAAAATCAAGGTGCTTGAGGAGCCGACGGAGGCTCAAGATGTCTCTATGGATTCTGGAGAGCAAGCATAGCGGGATAGATAGATTTATCCCTGGCGCAATTGGGGGCATTTTCCCTTGGCTGCAGTTTTAGGCGCATTGGATGTATAGAGTGTATGAATGATGAACCATGAAGTAGGTCGGTAGATTGCTTCTGGACTCAGCTACTCATAGCGATATTTGTAGCGAAGGGCCTTGAAACAATACAAAATATCTGGACGTGTAATCATAAACTATCATTACTTGTGAGCATGTTTTTCTGTTATTGGAGCAAATACTCCAATGATGCTTTTGGAGGCCTGTTTTGCGTGACCAGACATTTGTAACTGCCGGAAATAAGAACATTACTCGTATTTGATCAGTTGGATGGTTCAGTAAGAGCAAGAACAAAATTTGTTTGCTCTCTCATTTAGGAATTCCATAACTGAGTTAAAAATACTCGTTATTTGCTTCTTCTTAGTAGAGTTGGGGCAGAAAGTTGGCTCCTAATAGTCAGTCATTGCTTCTTTCCACTGCGCTGTTGCTTGTGGCCAGGTGAAGCAAGTGTTGTATCTTACTAAGGTTCTTCTATCAAAGTTAGTTTTTCAGCTACAAACTTCGTAGAAGTAGTTGTGTACACAGACAACACTTGCTTCATCAGCCTGCACAAGCGACAGCGCAGTGAAAAGACGCACTTACCAGGTATTACTCAATTAGGTACAGTTAAGATCCTTAATCCTTGCTACAGTGGCGGTGCTTGGAGGCCCACCTCATACTATAGCACGTGACATCCGCCAAGGCACTAAATCCTTATCTTAGCGTCAAAAGTTCAAAAATTTCTGAGGCGGGAGGTCTGCGTCGGGTCTGCATCATTTCGTGTTCAACCGCAAACTACCTACCACCACAGCAACTTGCAATAATGAACGCAAATTACATCCCCTTGGGGAGCGTGGATGAGACGGCGTATTTTGATAGAGGAGGAGAAGAGCAACCTGTGCGGCATCACAGAATTGAAGGAAAGACGCCTGGTATGTATAGCTTGGGGCGCATCTTTGCTCGTATGCCCCAATTGAATCAGCATAAGCTAACATCCAGAACAGAGGAGAGAAAAGAGATCGCACGCGCAATCCGGCTCGCAGCCAAGAAGGAGAAGAAGAAGATCAAGTCCGATGCGAAGAAACAGAGAAAGCAAAATGCTATTATGCATCGTCGTCTGGTAATTTCACTCACCCACCGTCCATCCCCGCACTTTTACTGAGGCCAATTGAATCTGACGGATCTTTGCAGACTAAAAACCCAGAGAAGTACGTCAAAAATAAGGAGCGTAACAAGTTGCGAGATATCGACAATGAGCGCCACAAGATCCGAATGGAAGCTGTACGACAAGCCGAACGACTCGCTGCTATACATGATCCATCTGGAAAGATGTTCAATATTGGACAGGTCATCGTTCTAGAGGATGGAAGAGTCAAGAACAAGGAGCTTTGGGAGCGGGCGGAGGAAACCAGAAAGGCTAAGGAGGCAGGCATCGAGCTACCAGCACCCAACCCCGCCGAGGGCATAAATCCCGAGCGTATGCCATTGATCAAGGGTGGTATTCCCGTTGCAAACCCTGCGGCGCCTGCGAAGAAACTCAGTAATAAGCAAAGGGCGAGACTCGCTGCTTCACTCCCGAAACCAGTTCCTCCACGTCCAATTCTTCCACCTGGTATTAGTATTCCAATGGGCGAGGAGGATTTCATTTCCCAATTCGATATTACGGACGAGGACATTCAAAAGCGACTTTCGAAAGCCAAGGGTGCGAAGAAGACCGCGGCAAAACAATTACGACGGGTTCAGCAAGAGCAGAAGAAATTCAACAAGGCGATGAAGATCAAGAAGAAGCAAGCCGCCAACAGAGGTGAAATTTGGGATCCTATCAAAGCCAAGAAGGAAGTTTTAGGAGAACAGGAGGCCGAGGAAGCTGCCAAAGAGGCCGAGGAGGCAAAAAAGAGCAATAATGAGGAGGGTAAAGATTCCGACTCTAGCTCTTCTGGTTCTGACTCTGATTCTGATTCCGAGTCAGAGTCGGATTCTGAGGGCGAGGAGGAGAAATCCGAGAAACCAAAGTCAAATAAATCCAAACGCCGAGCTGAAGACGACGCCGAAGGCGAACCGCAAGCAAAAAAGAGCAAGAAGTCCAAATCATCTTCCGATGACACTGAAGCGAAGAAGGGTAATGGACTAGATTTTGAGTTCGTTGTTCCCCCCGTAAAGAAGAAGTCCAAAACCATTCTACACCGCGAAGTACCCAAAATCAATCTCAAGCTCATCCAACCTGAAGGTATCGATAAGACTCTTAAAAAGCATATCAAGAAAGCCCGAAAAGATGCCAAGCGAGCAGCCGAAGCCATCGAAAAAGCCAAAAAGAAGAAGATAGAAGATGAAAAGGCTCTCGAAGCCGAGAATGCTAAACGTGCAGCACTCGGTATCCCACCAAAGAGAAAACCGAAGCAAGCGGTAGAAGTTCCACCTGAGGAAGCACATCTCAACAAAAAGGCCAGAAAGTTCTTGAGAGATCAGAGAAAGGCTGAGGAAGCTGCCAAGCTTTCTGGTGAGAGCAAGGAGGAGATAGAGGCAAGATTGGAGAAGGAGGAGGCAGCTCGGAAAATCAAGAAGGCCGAAAACAAGGCTAAGAAGGAAGAGCTTGATCGCCACGTCGCTGCTGTTATGCTTGAGAAGAAGGAGGCAGAGGCAAGATTTGAGAAAGAGAAGGCAGCCCAGAAGGCCGAGAAAAAGGCTAAGAAGCAAGAGCCTGACCGAGCCTCCGCTGCTGCTATTCCTGAGAAGAAGGGCCTTGCGGTCCAGTGGAATTCTGACAAGCTTGGTGGGGGTGCGGCGCGACAGGATAAATTCAACCGCCTGCTAGGTGCGAAAAAGGCAAATGTTGAGGAGAAGAGTGAGGAGAGAAAGAGTAAGAAGGTCAAGAATGAGGTTGATCTTGAAAAGGTGCAGAATGAGTTGGAGAGACAGTATGAGAGTGGTATGAAAATGAAATATGATGGGGGTGGAAAACGTAGGGGATTGGGCGCTTGATCTTTCTGGGAGAAAACATTAAAGGGACGCGCGGGTCTTCTGAGGTTGCTCTTGGGGGACGAATGAGTTTGTCTTGCTTGATGGGGTTGGTGGAGTAAGTAGGTAAGTAAAATGTGCTTGGTACTCTAGTTTCTCTTTAATTACCCAGTTGCATTACAAAATCACAAAAAACACATCACAAAAATCAAGGCTGCCTTGGTGGGAGATGTTCTAGTGTAGTTTTACTCTCTAGGTAGCAAAAAGTTCCATTTCAACCTTACGAAGAAGCCCTTGAGTGATCCTTAGAACTTTGGTAAGAAGTAGGCCACAGTCCAGATGTCTGTCCATGAATCACAGTAATCTTACAGTACTTAAAAACAAGGTGAGGTGAAAAACACAGAAGATTAGCGTACGAAAATCTGAGATGAATCGAATACTCGTCATATATTTTTTAGCTTCCCATTACGAACTCTAGTCAATTAGAGCAGTAATATCTCCCACTCAGTCCCTCACCGAGGGAATCAAAGAAAACAACAAAACCAGAAAAGAACCCCCACATAACAACCGCACGGGAAAATAAGGAAGCCCCCATGTCAATCGAGACCATATCTCTCTCTGCGCATCTTCAAGTCCAAATTCTACTTCGTCGCTAATATACAACACATGTTTCCCATTGCTCCACGTCCCACATTCCCATCATGCGGTATTCCTATGCATATGGTGGTATCTCTATCTCTCATCGCCTCGAAATTTTCCCCCTTTTTGTCGCTGTCTTCCCCCCAGGATATCGTTGCGCGGCTTTTTAGAAGAAATTGGACATTGCTTGAAGAAATGACGGGCAATCGGTAGAATAAAATTTATCGAACAACCTCCTAGCTGAAGAAAATTCGACTTAGTAGTTCGAAACCTAGACCGCCGAAGACGACGAATCCTAGGATTGCTGTGGAGAAATGTATTAGCTGCTATTCTTTGCAATTTGACTTCGTCCGTCTCCCTTGCCCCAGTTTCCTAATTGAGTTCACGTTGGGTTATACAAGGCCATAGGAAGTATGGAGAAACTAGAGGGGGCCTTTGGAACGATGGGGCAGACGTACTGAGCCAAAAGGGCGATATGGGACTCTTGAAATCTTGCTTCTTCTTGACCTCTGTCGGGGCCTTTCCTCGTTTCGCGGTTTGGTCTTTGGCGAACTTGGCGTTGCGCTTTCGTTGCTCGGGTGTTTGGGTCTGTGGTTTCGTCGTTAGTATAGCGAGCGCACACATAATAAATTCATAGAGTTCGGAATGTGCTGTTGCGCTGCGAACGTGCGACTGAGTGCGTCGAGGGACTTACCATCTTGAAGGCTTGCTATGGTTTGGAGGAGGTGTGTTGGTGGATGGGTTGCAAGTGGAGGGAAGAGGAAAGGAGGGAGAGACGAGTGTGAGGCTGGGGATGTAATATATCCGCTAGCTGGCTTGTCTGGTCTTGTCTGGTGCCCTTGAGCTAGGTTGAGTGGTTGTAGATGTGTCCCGAGTTCTTTCGGCCAGATGTGCAGTAACTCCGATGTGCACAGGGGGGGCGGCTACGAAGCTGCGGCTACGCTAGCAACTTAAGGTTTGGAGGGGCACGGGAGGGAGCTGGAGCTCTGAAAATCAAGCACTGTGGAAATTTAGATGAAATATCAACGACCTCTTCTGAACATTTTGCCATTTTTCCAGTTCCTCCCCATCTTTCCTAATTACCCTCTATCAACCTAAAAATAACTCACGATGAATAAGTTCAGATCCATCAGCATCTTCCGAACGACGCAATTGGCCACAAGAAGTTCCGGTTTCGCAAGAAGGACGATACAACCGCAACAAGGATGGAACTCCTCATCTGAAAAACCTACTTCTCCACATGTTCGCATAAACCCTGTCCTCCATATCTCGACAACATTCATAGGTATAGGTACTAACCAATCTTCGCTCCACAGATAGGATTCTATAAAACCTTCACGCGACCCATTGCGAAAGTCATGCTCATGGCTGTCTTCACGTACCAACTCGCATACTGGGCCTGGGTCAAGCTCGAGAAGGACGAGATTAAAGCGCAGAAGACTGGTGAGTCGTGGTAATCAAGGGAAATGAGGAGATGGACTGATGGTTTTGGTAAAGCAGAGATTAAAGCGTTGGAGGAGGAGTTGGAGAAGTTGATTGCTCTTGCGGAGGAGGCGGGGATTAAAGTTAAGCCCTGAAGAGCTTGATGATGGGAGAAGAGAGGAATGAATGTATGCTATTGAGGGTCCCCAGGGGCATGTCAAGAGAGAGGGTGGAAGAGTGAATACGCAGAAAGAGCTTACTCCATTGGACATGCCCGATATGGAGGCTAAGAATGAATGGAAGTCGAGGATGAGGATACAATTGACAGTCAAGGCTCTGCCGGAAACAATGGTTGAGAAGAAATGTCACTACTCTGCTTCAGTTGCAAATGGAAGTATGGAGGATTGCCAAGAGCTATAGCAATGGCAACGGATCAAAAACGTCCTAAGAGAACAACAAAGAAAAAAGAAAAAAGCAAGCAAAACAAAAAACCCCCAGAAAAGAAGGGAGAGGAATGACCTGATTAATTTCACCAGCCAAGTGCTTACCTGCTCAACCTTCAAGGTTGGAGTTACCTGATTAATTCACATGGTTGTTAAGCAATTGTGCATTTGGTGAGTTTGAATAAGTAGTCAACCAGATGCTACAGTAGTAAGAGTACTACTTTTCCGACGACGATTTGTATCAACCGGATGCCAACAATCTAGCCAGCCGCAGGCGTCACCCACCGCCCCTACCCCTTAGGATTTATCGGAGGATATTCTCTATTCTTGTCTCTCAGCATATCTTCTTTTTTTCTCCCTGAACTTTCATATGCTCGTTCCCTGTGCGTATTGCCTGGGTCTTCTTTTTTGGTCTGGGTGGGAGAGTAGTGGGGAGGGGGTCTGGTTTTATGTTACTTCTCCAAAGTATATTATGATGAGAGTTCTTTTCGTAGCTTTCATGCGGTTTCTCTTTTGCTCGTCTCTCCTCTTTGTTTCTTGATGGATGCATTGTTCTAGATAGGGGGTCTGCTTCTTGGGGTTTCACAAACTTACAGTAACTAAGGAGCGACATGCTCCGGGTGATTAGGTTAGAAGACTAGATTGGATTCTGTTGGGTTTGTGTGGGTTCAATATGGGCTTATGATTGTTCGTATAGACTAGGTTGAGGATAGCTGGAAGAGCTTGGGGGTTCGTTCCACGTATATAGACTTTTTAGCGAGACTTGGAGTTTTACTTTAGCATATTTACCAATCTAGTATAATACTCTCGTCTCGATGTGGATTTTTTCCTCGTTCCTCGGATCCCCAAGAGACTCTTATACTAAGATTGCATATTTACTGTCTCTTTGGAATCTCGAAAATTGTCCTGTATGATGACAGCGAAATAGAAGGGTCTAGGTTCTGACAGGATGGTTAGTAACTCAATTTAGAGTTAGTCTAGATTCTTTTTCCGTTATTTTTTGATTTATCGAGCAGACGGAATTTCTTTGGCAGATTAGGGACTCAAGGGTCTAAGTTCTGACTTTTCTTACTTTCATACAAATGTACCCTAAAGAGATAGGTTAAAGGAGGTACCCCTAAGCGTAGCCGAGGAACGACCCGAGTAGGGGCTATATTTAACGTGCTAGCTTCGCGTATTACAATTTTCATTTTGATATACCCCCTTCAATTAATCTCTGTTCGTAATATACTTAGGTGCATTGTCAATTGTGTAGGATTATAGTACAGACCAAAACGGCCTTTCCCCTCCCCTTATTCGCTTAGCTCTTAGTTTCCCATCTTTGTTGCAACACCAACTGAAAACGTCAACCTCTGGCCCCGCAAAGGAATGTTAGTACAATAGTAGTATCCTTGGGAGAATTTTTATGTTAGATATTTTGGTTCACAGCATAGTTCTTGTGTTGTATTGTGAAAGGTTTATTCGACAAGTCAATTGCAAATATGGCTGATCCCGGCGGGCAAGGTGGCATGGTTTTCGACAGTCTGAGTGTCGCGAATCTCAGACAAGAATGTGAAGACCGTGGGCTTGATAGTTGGGCTAACAAAGAGGAGCTTCTAACACGTTTAGACGCGTATTATGGTGTGGTGGGCGCGTCTTCAATACTCTCGTCGTCAAAGACTTGAAAGCGGAATGCAGAAAACGTGGAATAACAACTGGTGGTACAAAACCTGTTCTTATAGCACGGCTAGATGAGTATGAGTGGCAACGGAGACACAGCCCAGAAACGCGTGCTGCGGATTTGAAAGGGGAGTGCAAAAAGTTTGGCCTCAAGGGTTATAGTAGCTTAAGAAAGGAGGAGCTCATACAACGCTTAGACGAGTATTACAAGTATAGACGACCTGGCCATATTCCACCCCCAGCTCCAAATCCATTTCCTGTAAACGTACCACCAAGTCCAATTCAAAACCAACCTTCAGGCCCACCTCCTGAAATCGTTCTTCCAGTTCCAGCACCAAATCCAAACCAACGACGACGGCGACCGCTTTCTCTTCCTCTCCCTGCTGCAACCTCATTATCAAGTCCAAATCAACGCCGAACTCAACGGTCTTCGAGTTTGCTAAATCCAAATCAAGCTCTACGTCCACCCTCACCTCGACGCGCACCTCCTTACCCACCTCGTCCTGAAGATGATCTATATCTAGATCCTATTCCAGGCCATGCTCTACACTTTGCCCAGAATGTAGCATCAACTAGCAGGAAAAGACCTCGGAGCTCAACCGGGAACAACGGAGATAGGGACGCACCTTCTTCAAGTAAATATGTCAAGCTACCTAATGAAGGTAGGGTAGCAGCCAAACCTCAGCAACCCCGACCGCCTGGTGGTCCGTCGACTTATCGCCGGGGAGCAAGCGCCCCACCAACAGAAGTTTACGTAGATCGAAAAAACCGCTTCATAGTGCGAGCTACTCGATTAATCCTTGACTCCACGCGTAACAAGAAAGAAAAGAGAGAGATTAAATCAGCATTCGTGGACCGAGATTTTAAGAGCAAGGAGTACGACGGAAATGTAGTGGCCCAATATGCGCCGCTTGGCTCGGAGGCTGGTCCTTCGGATGATTGGATGACAGTGGAGGATTGGGTAGAATTTGAGAAAGATACGGAAGCTGGTGAGGCAGAGGGAGGGGGAGCTGGGGCAGCCCAACGTTCAGGCTGGGAGGGGGTCAAAGATCGTGCTGAGGATGGGTCTAGTTCCGATTCTAGTGAAGAGTCTGATCCAGTGTCAAGGGAATTCAACCCGTATGAAGGAAAACCTGGATATGACGTTTTTGGGGGTGGGGGTGAAGGCACAATAGAAGAGTAGTTTGCTAGCGGACCGCAATGGAAGAACGTGTAGGCGCTGGCACAGGACACAGATGGAAAGGGACTAAGTATCTTCAAACACGGTCTAATGGAACCGGTTTTATGGGGCTATGGGAAAGAGAACCGTTGGAGGAGGGTGAGAATGATCGAAATGCGATGGGGGGGATCCCGACGGGGATTGAGAAATTGGTTGTTAAACAGCTGTTTAGTGGAATTTCACGGGAACGATACGAAAGGGAGATCTATTTCCATGATAAGCTTACTAAGACGGGTAGTAAACATATTGTTGCGAAGTATGGGTCGGATGAGGGCAAACATAATTCTAATAATTCTAGTCAAAGGATCTTCATGGACTATTGTGAGAATGGGAACTTCCGGAGTTTTATGAAGGTCCTGAAGAGGTACGCAGATAGTTGAAATCCTCTCTTCATTCCTTACGGCTAAATTAATTCTGACTAACGAACTTCAGGGACACATCCATTACCAATCCACTGAGTGAAGAGTATTGTTGGTAAGTTGCTCGTAAAACTGCCTATAGTTTCAGCAGAGATTCTAACTAGGATTTAGGCGTTATCTTGAATGTTTAGCATCCGCGTAAGCCATAATGGAACACGGGAATGAGAGACAAGCAGGCCCTTCTTGGGATACCCCACTAATTCATAACGATATTGATGAAGATACCAGTAAGCAGTGCTCTATGTCTCTATCGGGCATGGAACATAGCAAACACAAGAATACTAATCAAGATTCTGTGTAGTCTTGGTCGGAACTAAGGATATAGAACAGCATAGAAAGACCGTAGCCCTTAAAGTCAGTGACGAAGAGCCTTCTCTGTCAAGACCTTTTGCTAACGTATTGTGGCAGTTGATGGAGTTCGGGAAAACCAAAGTATATGACAAAAGGGTTCAGAATGATGAAACTACTGGTACAAGTCGTCGAGCCACTAGCGCAACAAACGTTTGGTTAGCTCCCGTACTTCTATCAACAGATCCCCACCCGTTCTCTCATCCCTATCTAAGACTCATTTATAAGCAAATGCAGCAAAACTGACCATCTCTATAGGCAAATGGGAAGGATGTTCAGCAAAGTTATAACACGAGGTCGTATAGAGACTGAATTTGAAAAAAATAGCGCCATAAAATACATGCGTGAGAGGGCTGACGAGCAACAACGGCCAGACCGTGTTGTGTGGAGGGGTGACCCCCAAGCGGATCGTCCTAGGAAAAATCGTGAACTGGGAGATTATGAGAAGGACTTCTTTCTTCTCAAGCCTGATATTCACGCCAGTGCAACCAGGTTCATAACGACCATGGGGAGATCCGTCTTGAAAATGCCGCATAGCGTTACTTTGAGGTGTGTCGTTTTGAAAATGCTGGCGTACGAGCAGCGGGACCGGATTACTTCCAGGGAACTGTTAAAGGTTTGTAGGGACAGTATTATGATATCGCGAGCTGCAGACCAGCAGATGAGGAAAATTCCCGTCGAATTTCCCTTTGATACGTCTGGTCTTAGGAGCGGGGGAAACAGGGGAGGCGAAACATCCGGTGGAATCAGAAGACCGTCATCTGCTCAAGGTAATCCAGCTTTCTCCAATTCAGAAGTCTCAAATTATCTACAATCCTTTAGGCGTAACACTTACATTTTTGATAGCTCCTACAGCAGTGGCGAGTCCAAGTGCGTGCCTTAATCAAGGGGGCGACCAGCCCAAACCTCCACCGGTCGTCGCATATAATGACCAGATCTACCATCTCGCTCCTGACGAACCTCCACCAATAGGCTCAATACTCGACGGATTACTTGAAATAAAGGACACATTTGGTCAAAGGTACTGGCCGGACTTACTGGAAAATGCAAAGTGGGCTCGTGAAAATTTCAGGATAGGAGGATTGGAAGAGGAAGAACGACAATATACGAGGGAGGTAGCTGAGCTTGAACGTGATTGGCGTATCGATTAAGATTGTGGTTGAGGTCCCGAGGTTTTATCATTCTGAATATGATACTGTAAATTATAGGTAGGCTTCGATCGAGAAGAAGCTTTAGAGAATCATATTCGAGAGAACGGTTAGAGGATATTATTACCTAACAACATTCACTTTCCTTCCTCTGCGTATTTGCCACTCTAAACTGAAAAGGTCTTCTCGGATTGTAAGTTAGGAAAGTAGAGTGACTAGATCAAGCGCACCGAAAGCAAGGCAACACAAATAGCAAGATTTATAGTGAATGAAAATGGAGTTGCTTACAGCAGTAAGCCATGGTGGGATATATATCCAACCCTACTACTAGAATACTACATTCCTTTATCAACACCACTACTATATCCACCATATCGTCAGTTACACTATTATAGGCTCTTTTTTCCCACCTACATACCCCTCGCGAATGGCTCGCCGAGTTTTAGAGGGTTTTATATTTTATCTGGTTCTTATTTGAGCGTTTTATACTTCTTTAACTATCTAGTCGAAGTTATTACCCTGTCCTATCTTTATATTTTACTAGATAAAGCCTTCTAATTAGTTTATAATATAGTCGAAGTCCGAGTACTTATCGTGTGTCTTTTATTATTAGAACTTTATATTCTTTCTTTTATAGGCTATATACTTATGTCTTAGCTATATACCTATTTTACTATTAAGCTATACCCTTGTTTTTAAAGGCTATTATAGAAGTTATAAGATACTATTTAACCTATATATACTTACCTTTTAAGAAAAATATTAGCTATATCTATTAATATAAATATGCCTACTTAAAACTTACTAAGCGAGTTTTCTCGTCTCTATAAGCATTAGAATAACGAAATAAACCTTGGCTTAAGTTTTCTATAGTACACCTTACGAGAGCGAAAAGCTGAATCTACTTATTAGTAAGCGAGGTAGTTATTACACTAGATTTATCTTTCTACTCGATTGAAATCACAGCCTTCGCACTATCATATAATCATGAAATTGCGCTAGATCCACTCTACAGCTCTCTGCCTTCTGTAGTATAGTAAAACTAATTAGTAATTATTAGTGATCTCCCTCTAATGGGATTATAGGATATCCATCAATCATCACAGGACAGAAGAACAGTAAGGGTCTCCTGATCTTGATGGACTCAGTTAACCAACCAACCCCTCACGAAACTCACGTGTGCGTAGCCACTAATTCACGATCTATGCGTAGAGAAGTGAACAGTAATCCCCTCTGCCCCTCAAAATGATATATTGAATAGAAGACCCTTCACTCCACTTCAAACCTACACCCAATACCCAACTCCCAATCCTCAGTCGCCTAAACCAAAACTCCAAATCAAACCCAGCCACCACCCCCCAATTTAAAAACCAAAGAGAAAAGACTAAACAAAAAAAAAGTCCGACCAACTCTACCACCCAAAACGCACCCTAATCAACTACCCCACCGACCCCACCGACCACACGAACCACCGACATCCTCTTTACCTACACCTCTCAACCTACACCCACCAAGGAAGCCGCACGCAACGCGCTTCTCTCCGAGGGATATCTAAAAGATGATTTTGATGTGTATGAAGAGTATACTGCCCCCAAAAAGGTAGAGATGGAAGGGGTGGGGGAGGAAAAGGAGTGGAAACATGGAAATGGGGTGTTGGTGTTTGCGAAGGCGCGAGTTTGATGTGAGGATTGATACGAAGGATAATGGAAGGGGGTTGGTGGGTGAGGGTGAGGGTGAGGGGGGGAAGGGGATGATGGTGGGGGTTTGGTGTTATGGTTCGTTTAATTGTCTGTTTCTTTTTGTTTTGTTTTTGGTTTCTCTTCGTTCTAGAGCTTTTTCCAAACATGAGTAAATGAACTCACACTCGGGCTACTACCCCCCCTACCACACCTCCAAACTCCCCGAACCATCCATACATCCAAACTAACCTGTTACCCCTTCTCAAACACAGTCCTCCAAACAACCATAAACTACAACCCCGACCGCACAGGCTTAAACCAATCCACCGAAGTCGAAGGCATCTACCCGTCCTGGCGAGAAGCATACGAAGCCGCCCACACGACACTTCTCGACGCGGATGTGACCAAGGAGTCCTTTGGGGAGTACGATGAGAAGGAGGGCTTTGAGGGCGAGTGGCCGTATGGTGAGGATGTGTGTGGTGCATGCGGTTAGTCAGATGGGGGAGAAACTTTTGGTGGTGGTTAAGGCGTCGCCGGGGGGTTGTGGGTATCTTGGGGTGAGGATGTGAGGTGGTTTTTGGGATGGGGATGGGAATGGGAAGGGGAAATGTTGGAGAGAAAAGGGGCTTTTGGGATGGGGATGGGAATGGGAGATATTGGGGAGGAAAAGGGGGTTTTGGGGGGATGGAATATGGCATATGGCGAAATGGTGGGGAAAAGTTTGTTTTGGATGCGTTTTTGGGATGGCTTGGATGGGATATGGTGGAATGTTGAAAAGGGGTTCTCTATTTTGGATGGGTTCAAGGGGAAATTGGAAAATGGTGGAATGGCATTTTCTTTCCTTTTTGGTTGTATTGGATGGCAAATTGGGGATTCTTGGTGTAATGGCAGACAAAATTATAGGGAGCAGGAATAATTGAAACGCCTGGTGCGCCTTTTTAAAACACACTACTCGAGTAATTGAACTGGGAAATAGGAGTGTAGTACCAAACGAGAAAGAACTCAGGAACTACTCGGTTGCAACAACTAGCCATGAAAGCTGCCAAATTGCAAGAATATCACAAGGTAACTGACTACCTGGATATCAGAGTTTCCGATGTAGGAAGATGACTCCAGAGAGGAAATTGGTGTAACACAATCTGTTTACCACTGATAAACGGATGCAATGCCAACAACAATTCCAACAGTGACCAGCACGAATATGTCATCGTACAAGCTTCAATAAAATGAAGTGTAACATTGACAGCTCCGATATAGATAACATCTACCCCGCGATAAGATGAATAGCCCCGCAACACCTTGTAAGCACGTCAACATGTGACGATCCCCTCGCCTTCCGCCCTTCCCCCACCACAAACCCCCCAAAAAAAGCCGCCCCCAAAAACGATCTCGGTCCTTGAGCTCCCGAGAATCTTCATCCTTGGGACCAAAATCCAGGCTCAAGATATGAAAACAGCCTCAATATAATGACCAGCCAAAACGACACACCAAGACCTTTTATAATATTATACGACGGCAAGCCATCGGGAAGGGGTCAAGAAAGGAAAATACAGCCGGTTCAGTCGGCCAGTTGGAGCAGCTGATTCAGACTCTAGACCTCGCGACCTGGTGGACCACAACACCACGCCCTGTCAGAGCCAGTCAAAGCCTCATTCTCGCGCACAACCACCAACACCACCCATCGTTGAATGCTGCGATGCTGATGCTTCTAGGCGCGACCATCAGCTGGCTAATGATAACTCAGATGTCCGTGACGACCGATCGTCACACGCCTAAATAGCCTCATCCCACCCTCATCGTTCCGAAGAGGGAACCAGACTCTGGCAGACCTACATTGTTACCTACCGTCCTTGACCTGCTTGCCTCACTTGCCTTGACATGATAAGATTTCTAGCGCGCTCACCGCTTTAACCGTTCGTGGCCGCGGGCGGGAGTCTGATGTTGTGTATTTTCATGGTGTTGTGTGACGAAAGGCGACTTTTGATAAGGTTGGTGAGGAGAGGCAAGATACGGAGCTTACCTAGCGTGCCTAGGTACGACCGTGGGAGCTTAAATTTCATCTCATATCTTTTTCCCCTTTTGGTGTTTTGACTTTCTTCGGTGAGGAAGTCGTTGACGGTGATCGACACCAGGGTGTTGAGTAGTGGCGGTGGAGAAAGCTCCCGGTGGGTGCTGCGCTGACCTTGTCGAGCTTGCCTTTGGTGACGGCTGGCTGGCTGGCGAGCCTGAATAGGAGAGGGAATTATGGAATCAGCGAGTTATTCGTGTAGCCTATTAATAACCGCTGCAGAAGATACAGTAACAATTAAATTTCCTTTATTGACGAATTCAACATCAATATTTTTCATTGTCTTGTGAAGATGGTGAGAGTCATCTACGTACTTGGACTTGGAACTTTCTTCAGGTAGTGCACTCCGGAACCTCCCTGGCTGGCTGACTGACTAGTACTCTCGATGCTTCGCATTGGAGGTTGACGGACGAACGATGAAACCTGCAGAACCCATCCACCATCCCATTCCTGTATACCTAGTACCGTACCTGTTTCCTGTTTCCTGACACGAACCCATCACCCCTAAACTCCACTCCTGATGATTAGATCACCGCATCCCCAAAAAAACTTGCAACTTCCCCATACAATGATCTCCTTTTCCATGTGTAGATAATGCAATTGTCGAAGGTCAATCCCAACCTAAACCTGGGTAACAATAATGACAAGTATTGAGTACCTGCCCTAAAACCCCACCTCCATGCGGTAAATCTTACATGCAGTCGTCAAGCACGCCCTCAAACCCGAACAAGCGCCGCAAAGGGTAACGGTGACGTCTCGCACTTACTCGTTTTTCTTAGCCAGCACTATTTCTGTAATTCCATTCGCCGAGATTTTCCATCGCATCCCATCCTCTCCAAACCCTTACTCTACTCTATTCCATTCGCAATCAAGACAAGACGATAGACAATCTTGTCAATCTATCACGACATGATCATTGATCAACCCCTTCCCCATGTTCGGCCCGCCGACCACTACTGGCCACTGACCACTGACCAGCATGACTCAGATGAGCTTGGATGGGGATGGGGATGGACCGGACCGGGTTGGATGGGATGGGATGGGATGGAATGGCGTTGGTGTTCTTCCCGAAAAAGGCACTTGGACTAAGCACCTGGCACTCGCGTCTCAGCCCTGTTGTGGGAACTGGAGCTGGTTCATGTTCTTGTCCGTACCTCGTACGATCGCGAATAATAGCTCCTTGTCCTGCTACTCATAGGCCTACCCCGAGCCTACTCTCTAGTCATGGACACCATACACTGTACCATGTTTTATCGCTCGCGTTGCTTGCCTTGCCTTGTCTTGCCACGCCAGGTGCGTGGTGGTGTTGGTGTAGGTTCGAGTTCGAGTTCGGCTAGGATACAAGTACCACCTGGACACAGCACAAGTCCACAACACACCGAAGACAACACAACCTTACATAGCGTAGCCATAGCATAGTCAGAGCCCCTGAAAAAAAAAACCACACACAGTCCTAGACCCCTTCCCCTTTCCCGTCCCTGTTCCAGTTCGCTTTATCTGTGCGGTACGCGGTATGCGTTCGGGTAGACCCATTTCGGTGGAGTTATAAAGAAGGGCGCGCGGCCTGATTGTCCCATATTTTTTCCTTGCTCCTTCTTCTTCCGCTATTCTGGAAAACTGATTTGGGTTTTTGGATTCTTCCTTTTGACCGCTTTTGCCTCAACTCTATTTCGATCTCTAACTTTAACCTGCAAGACGAGTCAGAAATTACCCGAAACACCGTTTGAGAGAACGTGTCTGTCTACCCTACCAAGACATATTTTGGGGCTCGTCCGTATCTCCCAAGGCTTCTCACCGCATCCACCATCCCGATTTGGCTCCGATCTCACTCATTCTCACATCACACACATCCATACTTCATACATATATACACCCTCAATCCTCCCACCTTGGACCTCTGAAGTTGCAAATATTACATACCACAAACCCATACTCAGATCGTACCATAAGATATAAGAACAACTAGCCACAAAACATTTCATACCCAACAACCATACCAAACAACCCATCATCATGTCTTCCACCACACAAACCCAATACACCAACCAACAACAATACTACCTCATCACAAACGTCACCTCCACCTACCACCAACAACAAACCTCCCGCGAAGAATTCGATCTCAAATCTAGCAACACATCTTGGAAACTACCATACACCATCGACGACGAGGATCTCACCTTCGACGGAAAACCATTGAACATGTTATACGAAGAGAACCGAATGAAAGCCGAGCGACGAGATGAGAGAGTATGTCCTCCCACCACCTAATCCCAACTACCAAATAACTAACCAACCCACAGAAGCCATCCCGAGGACGCTCCCGCAATGCAAAGAAGTGAAAGAAAGAAAAATTATTCACACGTCAAATCAAAAGCAATCATCCATAAATCACGAGAAAGAGGAAGATAAAAACCCGGATTCGCGACTCGCTTCGGCCCACCTCGATCGCTACACGCACCAATGAGTCACAACAAATCAACAACCCATCGCAATCGCATAACCGCACGAACCGCGTCTGAAAATAAACATCGCAAGGAGAAAAGTAAAAGAAATATCTCTCTCATCCTCCTCCATCAAGGTGTCCATTCCAAATCTAAATCCAAATCCAGACCCGAAAAGGTTCATATCATCCAAAGAAAGAAAAACGCTCGCACCTCACCACCAGTCCCCTCAAAGCGCGCAAGCCGCCCCTTCAGCCCACCAAAACCAAAACCAAAAAATCCCATTCAAGGACAAAGCTCGCACTCGAACCCGCCCCCCCC